TTCATATGGATTTAATGGTCCAGTGTGTAGAACTTAGGGGGATATACTGACAGAAATGCAATGTAGTATAAGTATAGTGTTTTCTTTCGTGTTTAATCACCTGAAAATAAGAATCATTGTGTTTTTGTTACCTTACAATGAGCCATTTATATCTGCATAGGGGACAGGTCCTGAGTCCGCCATGTTGCACCTTATTGGCACCCTCTGGGGCTGAAAAATGAAGCCAACATGGAAGTGCCCAAAAGTGCAGTTCATCAAATGGCCACTTGAGGTTGGCTCCAGAAGCCAGTCAATCCCCATAGACTCATTTCAACACAGTAGAAATGTTTATCTGTCTTCTGATAGTGTCCTCGATCTCAGTCACATCCACCCACACCTCCACAGCGTCAGCCTCTTACCCAAATATGGTCACTTCTGGCTTGGAAAAAAACAAGATGGCGATGGCTGAAATGTCAGAATCCAGGCTTTAAAACAGGGGTCCACAAACCAGTGAGTGACTTCACAGTAGCTACATCCATTATTTTATACAGTCTATGGTTGCACCACCAAGTTTCTACAGTAGTCTGGAATGGACAAACCAAACACTGGCTCAAGATAGGACCAGTCACATCTCTGTGTTGACCACCGTAGATTAGCAACCCCGTGATTATTCAGTGTTTTTACTGGTTTTGATCACCTGGTCCATTTGTGTTAGAGAGTTAGAGACCACTGCAGATAATTCAGCTCCTATGAAAAAAATCTCCTGAACAATGAACCTTGAAGGAATTCACACTTGGCATACAAGAGATGTTTCAGCTGGTTGCAATCCTTACAGCTAGATGCCACTAAATCCCCCTAAATCTTACACAATGCTCATTTAAATTACACAGTTTCTCCTGTTGCATGTTGTGACACATAAGTCATACACTGTGCTTACACCTACAGCGAGACTTGCGTGAGAGTACATAAAAACTCTGCCAAAGACGTGTTTGTTCACTCACAGGAATATCTGCATCCTCCCTGTCTCCTTTGGCTGAGAAATGTGAACACACTCACAAAAAGAATAAAAATTCTGGCTCGGGGCTTTTTTCATGATCTTATTGTTTTCCCTCTTGTTCCGTTAGTGCTCAACACAACCAGACTGGTGGCAGTGGATCATGCACACACTTGCTGTACGTTTGCTGACTCATATGTACAGCATACACCTGCATGAACACACATTACACACATACCTTACACGCTCAGAGCAGATTCCATGCAGGGAATTCATGTTATATTGCCACACAGTACCTGAGTGTTCAAGGCCATTAAAATGGTAAACACAAGCATACTGCAGAGATTGAGGAAATATATAACAGACTACACAAACTCAAAAGTCCCTCACAATGAAAGGCCTCGACGGTGCTCATTAATCTGCGATGCCAAAAGCCATCGTTCAATGTTTTGACTGTGCTATTGTGCTTTATTTGGAGAGGACATAAATGCGTCTTTTTTTTAAATTTTATAGGGCTCCCCGAGAATTTTATTTTGAACCAGTAAATCATTGTTTTTACAGCGCAGCTCGGAGGATTGTCTCTGCAGCAATAGAGAAAAAGAATAACAAATGCATCTGTTATCAGAGCTTGACCTACTCTCTCCGCTTCAGGCTAATTAACGGCAGTGTGACAGCTATTGTGCCGTAGCCGTGGCCTTTTACTGCCGAGCAATAATACTTTGTTTTTTGGCAATGGAGCTGCGCTGCCATTTTATCTCAGGTTAGGTTAGTCGGCTAGACTCAACACAAACAGCTCCTCTGGAATCACAAGTTAATGTGACCCAATGAGCCACTGACACACCAACCTCTCGTGTCATTCTTTAAAAGTGCTTGCACATGGGGAAAACCCACATCCTGATGACTGCAGCACTATAACAATAACATACCTCTGACATTTTTGAATGTAATATAATGTGTCTTTGTTATTCAAATGACAACAATGATACAGGCCCGTTCATTGATTTGCTGTGGAAATCAGTCAAAGGCCCTGTGGGCAATTAAACCTGTATTTGCTGCTTTTTGACGAAGTGCTGACTTCCATGGTCCACCTGTTTACTGCAATGCTCTGCTGTGTGTCCATGTGTGTGTGTGCATGCAAAAGAAGTCATAGAGGTTGGTGGGAGGGGGTCCTGGCTTCATGCTGCTGGGAGAGTGGAGTGTACACTGCTGACACCAGGGTTTTCTTATTTTACACAGGTTACACAGAACTATTTTTATGCATAAAAACATGATGTGGTTTAATAATGCATCATCTGTCTTGTCAAAAACAACCAAACTCCATTAATCCTAAAATAATCTCTGCATATTCTGTTTTATGACATTTTAATAAAGTCTGTTGTCCTACATATCTTCTGCTCCGAAGTCCCTTAATCAAAATCTAAAGCTCAGGGCAAACACACAAGTCTCAGAAGAGCGCCCTTACTGGCTGTGCACAGCTGGCAATCAATAAAACATGTCAATAATGATTCGATCTATTACAGCAGTCAAACGCTTTGCCATCCAATTACAAAGGTGTTTGGGTCACTTCAAAGAGTGAAAGCCTGATTGTACTTGAGTATCACACAAATCAATACCTGAACTTAATAAACTGCAGCCAGTTTGCATAACAGCATGATTAAGTGCCTTCTTTTCTTAGAAATGAACTCTGTTGCGAAGCTGCCGCTGACACACATTAAATAACATACTGTGCCACAACGGGGCAAAAAAACAAAACACTCACTTTCCAGTAATCAGCTGCATTAAAGTGTGATGTCATATAGCTGTATAGTCTCATCGGGGAATAAAAACACTCAGCACATCCATTCAGTCCTGTGTCCAGTTGCTGGCAAAGCAGGTGTTATGGATTGTCTCAGCTCTGGGAACGAGTCGCTGACCCCTTCCCCTGATCCCTTTCCTGTTTGGCATTGTGTGTGCAGCCGAGTCGGGGGGCGATAGAGTTGGTTTGTTCCCTGCTACTACGGCATGTTTTTCCAAATATCTCCATTCCCCTTTTCTCTTCCAGTCAAGTCATGTTCCAGGTGGGGTGACAGAGCACAGCACGCAGCTACAGGCGGTCCAGGAAATTTGTGTCCTCCGTCCAAAAACATGTTTTGACCGTCTGTGCCACATCTGGGGGGATATTTACTCCTAAAGCCATTCTTTTCTGCAGCCACATGACACAATACTCATAACAGGTTCTATTTGCACACCCTGCAAAAGCAAAACATATTTTGCACAAATGAAACCAAAAAAAAAAAAAAAAAGGTCATATGTGGCGATTGTGAGTGGAATACTCTTGAGAGAGGCAATTTGGCACAGCCAAAAGACCAGAGTGGGGCTATCTTTAGTCGTCCAATTCAAAAACAAAAGGTTACTTTATGGCAGCTATAAATGTGCTACTACTGACACATTAAAAATTGTCTTGGCTTCAGCACTCCATAATGGTCATTACAGTATCTCATTGTAACAAGGGGAAGCAAAACAACGGAGTCACAGTGATTTAATTGTTTTGGTGGTGGTGTAGCATATTGCAAAATACATTACTCAGCATCCCATTTACACAAATAAATAGCTTAATTACTGCAGCAAACACAATGGGCGCATCTTACACTGAAATTATTTCATATTTAATACCCTCTTTAGTGGCGTGCCGTATAATTTAGAAATGGTATCATTACACACACCAGTATATTCATTGCTTAATGAGATGACCCTTATGTAAGTGCAAATTATAACATGAGGTGATTATGACATGAACTCTCTCTTTGAGTCTGACACAGCTCTGCACCTGCAGCAGAGCTAATCCTTCCTGCACCAAACCATCTGGAAAGGGAATTTTGCTCTGTGTATAATGTATGGGTCTGTATGCTGCTGCAGCAGTCAGGACCAGAGCCCTGCGGTGAAACAACACAGCTGATTCTTTTGTTGTGCTTCTCTGCTCCATCACTATCCATTTAAACTCTGCTGTAAAAATCCCACAAGTCTTCTACATTGTTTGACCTTCAGTGTGTGGGTGTTAAACCAACATCGAGAGCTAATCAAAGACCCCAAGAGGGGGGACAGTCCCAGCCTCCCCCTGTGTTGCTCAAGGTGCCTCTGTCCTTGAAAGCTCACAATGAGTCCTGGACTTAAAGCTGATCAAAGTTTGTCTTGTTCCTCGAACCATCAGTCTCTGCACAGCAGCAGTCAATCAGCTCTGCTCGAGGTTACCTAAGGGGTTAACATCGCCAACCTTTCCCATCTGTTGCTAAGGAAGTGTTGCCTGTTGTGCAGGAAACAGGGAGAGCGGTTTCCTGTTATGAAGAGAGGTTTTTAAAGGCTTGCATTCATTCAATCGTGCAACAGATGCCGGGCCAGGAAGCTCAGCCAATAGCAAAAGCTTTGGTGTCCTGCAGAAACTGTGTCTGGAAACTGCTTTTAGGAACCTTTCTATGCACTGTGCTGGTTCAGGAAATAATACACGAGCAAAACATGCTGGAGAAAACACGGAGATCTCTGCTTGATTTCTGAGTATCTGGTGTATACTGTGTAATCCTATAAAAGCATGAAAAGTATGTCATCTCATGTAACCGTGTGAGTCTGAACTTTTCAACTGCTGTCAGTCAGTGAGGGGACATGTGCCATGCACCAAACCATGGGCAGATGTGGGTTGAAAAAATAATATTAGTTGTGCAAATATAGTAGCTGCAGATTAGAAGCTGCCCACCAGAACAATGAAACACTGGAGATGAACCGTGGTTTATAGTACCATATTTATGGTCCAAATCTCCCACACTGAGTGGATTTGGTTTCACTCAATTCTAGTCTTACAGTGCTCCGTCTACAATGTGGCACAATTGGCCACATCTGTGCAGCGGTGTGCTGAAACAAAACACGAGCAGATGTGAAAATGAAATAGCCCAGATATAATGCTGTGCATCGCAAAAAAATGAAACACAGACAGAGTGGGTTTGGTTCGCGCTCCGTGTCCGCGCCGCCGCGCCAATTGTAGACTCGTCCTGCTTTAGGAAGCGCCAAGCAGCACCTCCCGTTTCCACACAAGAGCGCACCACTTTACTGTAGCACCACCACTGGAGATACACGCCGGCTGAAAGCTGAGCTGCCACTCTGCGAACACGGGCGTCTTTCCACAAGTCACTGGAGAAAAACAAAAGACAGCATGTCCCGCAACTCTTCATTCACCTCCTAATTTCCCCGCAATGTGTTTTTGTCTGGATTAAGTTTTCATTTCGAGGGACGCGGTCGGCTGTGGGGAGAAACATGAGGATAACTGTCGGTTCCCGTGGATGATGCTGCCCCGCAATGAACGCAGGTTGGTTGGTTATGTTGTATGTTCATGTCAAGAGTCCAGAAAGTTTAAATGTTTTACAGCAAACAAAGTGGTGACAGCGTGAGTGTTTGTGTGTGAGTAATTAATGAAATTGGTTGATTCTGTCTGAAAACATATTTCACTTGTTTATTTTCCACCTATTTCACATACAAATTGATGCCCAGTGCAACTTGATTCAGCCTGCTTTAAATCAGTTATTACCTAGTGAAATATATACAGAGTGATGGATTGATCACATAGGTACTGGTATTTTCTTAGAAATGATGCTGCTAGTTTTTTAACAGTGCAACTGGGTTGAATTCTACCTGCAGAAATTTGGGGTTTTAATCCATAGCTATGGATAAAGTTGCTTTCAGTGGAAGTCTGTTCTAGGATTAGTATTAGTGTTAGAGCTGGGATTATAATCCATCAAAGTAGACAGAGCCATTGGTTTCGAAGGTCACCTGTCTGTGAGGTGTCCTGTGAATTTAAGTGAAAGAAGTTGAAAATTGCTCTCGTCATTTTTTCCACCAAAGGAAATCTTTGTTTTGGAAAATAAAGCCCCATTTGTTTTGTACAGCCTTGTCACTTTGGATTTAAGACAGGTTGTTAAAGCTTACAGTGTGACATTACACGATGAGGACACAGTCTGAAATCATATCCTGTGAGTTTGGCACAGCCAAGGTCCCAGTGTCTATCTCTTCCTTTGTTTTTCAAACATTTGTTTTAATTGAATTCTTGTTGCATAATTCATATCCTGTTGTTTGCAGTTGGGTGCTTTGTCAGACTGGGACCCTTGTTTTCTCTCCCTGTTTTATTGTTCTTTGACGCACTCAAAGGACCTTTTCAGCAAAAGCGAAAAAAAAAGTGTGTGTGCCTATATGTGTGTGTGTGAGTGTGTGTGTGTCTGTGTGAGTATGTTTTGTGAGAATCGGGGAAGAATGACGAGAAGGAAGTCCATTTGTGTTGTGAAAATCTGTACTCCTAGAGAGGTTCATGGAGGAGTGATGGGGGGCCAAGCTGTTAATGTCCTTCCCCCCGTGGACATCCTGTGTGGAGTCCAAGGAGGCTTCTTGAAGAAAGAGTGTGGTGACATTAATGGAAAAAATATGTATAATTGGGGGCAAAAAGCAATATATGACAGTGAAGGGCAGTTTCCTATTAGACTGATGTCTGAAGAGGGAGACACACTGACAGAGAGAGGGAGAGAAAACAGTCAGAGATAGCCAGAGTGCACACAGGGTTTAATAGGATGTGCGTCAGGGCAGGTACTAAATAACAGGAAGAGACAAAGGGTGTACACACTTTGTTAAGTACGGGTGTGTTTCATGACAATTCTAAATTTTGATAGCAGTGCTCTTTAATGACTTTACAATTTTTCAAAGTTAGACATGCGGCTCAGCCCCCAGTTCCAAAGTACATTTTTTCCTCTTACCTGTAGAGTTCTTTATTAATCTAGATTTGGTGTGTCTAGTTTTGGTGTGAGTTACCCAGTGTTGGAGATGTCAGCTGTAGAGATGTCTGCCTTCTCTTGAATATTAACGAACTACATGGCACTCTGCTTGTGGTGCTCAAAGTGCCAGAAAAATAAATGAAAACTCCACAGCAATGTCTCTTTCCAGAAAGTATGACCAGCTACACAAAATAATCCACAGACCTTGTTGTGAGCAGTTGAACTATTTTCTTTGTACCGAACTACACCTGCCAACTGTATCACTGCACAGAAAGAGGTGTGCATCTGCTCATGGACCAGAGGCTTGTGCTTGTGATACTGCGAGATGAAAGGATTAATGGAGTCCTTCTTGGCTGAGCTGTAATGTTAGCTAGCTGAGTGGAGGTGAGCTAGCAGAGATGCACGCTTCCTTTTAGGCAGGTGTAGTTTGCTAGAAAGAAAATAGTTCCTACTTAAAACTGCTCACAACAAGGTCTTCGGATTATTTTGAGTAACCGGGTCATGATTTCTAGGAAGACACATTGCTGTTGAATTTTTCTAAGCATGTTTTGGCCCTTCAGCACCACAAGCTGAGTGCCATCTAATTTCATTATATTCAAGAGCAGGCAGACATCTCTATGGCTAATATCTCCAACACTCTGCAACTCACACAGACACAATCTAGACAAATAAATAGCACTACAGGTAAGAGGAAAAAACTGTATTTTTCATTTGGGGGTAAACTGTCCCTTAAGCTAAATGTTAAGTCTAAATTTAAAAGCAAGACATGGAGGCACACTGTCAAAATTAACACACACAGATTAAAGCTGCTTATTCATTTCAGCAGGCCACAGATAAGGATTTTTTGGAGCAATAACAAAATCATCTTTAAAGTTTTTGACAATAAGCCAATCATTTGTTGAATCAGATTTAGCTATAAGCATACAACCTGCATGTGTCATTTCCCAGACAGGGAGATGTTATTGTTCCTCCTCTAAGTACTCTGTGGCTCTGTTGTTTTTCCTGCTGATAATGTCCCCTGCAGCATTCTGCATGTCACTGACTATTGTACAGGACTTGACTTCCTCTCAGCATTCTATACCAAAACAGGAATCACATCTTTATCCTCATGTTAGCGTAGATATTACAGATAAAATGAAAGTAGCCTATTATTTAGTGGCTTTTACTTTTTTTAAATTAACATTTACTGTCTTTTCACAGATTTTCAAAATCCACTGCAAGTCCCTCGACCAAAGCTCCGCAGTCATCTGACCATCAAAGTGCAGTCCAAACTGATGTCCAGGCCGTGTCCCCCTGTCCGTGGTCCAAAACCTCCTGTCGCCCCAAAGCCCAGACCCCTGTTTGAGTCTCATACACAGGAGGAGCCCTGCCCCCCACAGCGCCTGAGCAACGGAGACCTGGCTCACTCTGATGGAGAGACGGAGGATCTCCACGAAATGGCTGGGGAGAATCAGGACAAAGAGGAGAAAAGTGAGGCAGAGGATGGGGCTAATGACGAGGAAACGGAAGAAGAAGTCGACATATTAGATAATGATGCCGACAGCACTGGCTCAGAGGACACAGTCAAAGCAGATGATGGTTCTACTGTTGACGCTACTGAGGATGAAAACAATGACACTGACTTGAACCAGCCTGAAGGTGGCAATCACACTGATGATGAGAACAAATCAACGCCTTCACTTACTCCTGCTGAAATGGAAGGTGAGACAGGAGAGGAGGCAGAAGAGGAGGAACAGAGTTTCAGTGAAAACAGTGAAATAGTCTGTGAATCTACAGGACACTCAGACGAACATGTAGAGGAACAAAGTCTTGATCAAACACAGTCACTCAGTCAGGGTGATAAGGACAATGATACTGGATGTAATGAAGTGGACAGTGAGCAGAGTGAGGAGTGTTTGCACTGTGGTTTAAACACAGATGAGAACGAGCTGGAAGCTGGAGGTTTTGCATATGGATTCAGCGTGCTTCCAACTGTAACTGAGGAGTATCCCTACGACGTGATTGGCCCCACAGATGATGCTAGTGATACATGTGAGTCATGTGACACAGCTGAAACAGGCGAAACAGGGGTATGGCAACCAGAACGGGCCACCAAGGACCTCTCTGGTTGTTTTAGATTCGCATCCAGTACTGAGGATGTATTTGGGCCTTATTCCGTCATTGAAGCTCTTCCGCCAGATATGACCGGCACTGCTGACCCAGAGTGGAGTCAGGATGATACTGATGACAAACCTTCAAATGAAGTTCAGACAGCAGGTGCTTCTAATCAGGAACCTTACTATGTGTCATCAGATGATATGGACAAGCTAGAGGATAAGATAGAGGAGGACGCCGAGCAGTCGAATCAGCACAAAGACAAAGCAAGGGACGGTGAGTCAGCTGATGAGTATGCAGACATTGAGGATTCACTCTGCCCTCAAGCAGATAACTTAGAGCAGGTTGAGTGTGTCTCATCAGAGGATTATGTCGAAATAGGCGATGACGAAGAAGAGGAAGAAACGGAAAAGAAACACATCAAAGGAAAAAGTGTGAAAGAAAGAACGGCTAAACGAGAGCAGGCTTTCCTCAGCCAGAGAACAAGCTGCCAGCCTCGCCTCAGGTTGTGCAACATCACAGTGCCATCAGACCTGGACGTAGGCCGCACCCCAGAGCTCACCAACAGGGTGGTGTTTGCCCACACCACTGAGGCCTTTGAAGAGGACATTGAGGAACTGGACTGCCATATTGTGCCTTACTATGAAGACACAGACTCGGACAGTGATGAGCATATATACGAAGAGGCAGGGTTTGATTCAGAAGGGGAGAACTTTGTGACACTTGATCGAAAGACTATTGTCACACGATCACGCTCTTATTCTGGTAAAGTTCCAGGTTATGTCCCAGAAACTGTGCCAGAGGAGACAGGGACAGAGTACCAGGCCCACGACTACTGCACAGTACCCTTGGATAAAAACAATGAACCATTTAGCCATTCACAGCAGCCTGGGATCAACTGTTTGGTCCCATCCATGAAGTCTCGCCACTTCTTGTTTTATTCCCGATCTGCAGAGGGTCCAGAGTTGACTTTGACCACTCCCACAGAGATCAGCCATTCTCTGAAGGATGATATCAGAATAAGGAGGAAAGATGATAATCTATCACTCCCATGTGTCATCACCTCTTCTGGAAGCTTCTCCCAGCGTAGCCATCAATCATCCAGTGGTGTTTCTACACCAACCTCTCTAGTGGACATCCCGCCACCCTTTGAGCTGGCCTACATCACTAAAAGACCTGTTACTAAGAGTTCCCCATCCCTCCTGATCCAGCATGAGCATAATGATATACCTAAGAAGAAGAAGTCCTCCTTCAAGCGCTTCCTGGCGCTCAAGTTCAAGAAGAAGACAGATTCGAAGGGTTTCAGTGATGGAAGTGTCCGCTCTTCACGTTCTTCCTCCGAGTCCAGCCACCACGGCCCAGCAAGGGTCATAGAGCTTGATCGTAGAAGCACTGGCAGCTCTCCTCAGCTTCAGTCCCGCATTGTGAACCCGCAGCAGCGTCCTTCAGACCTGCCACCCTTTGTCTTCTACAAAGACCACCAGAGAAGGAAAGGTGACCCGAAAGCTTATGGCAGGGGTGTCTCTAGAGTGGAGTCTTTCGAGGAGCGTTCTCGGCGCTCCGTCATGCCGCTGCCTTTGACCAAACCCCGCTCCATCTCTTTCCCCAGTGCAGACACCTCAGACTATGAAAATATCCCAGCCATGAGCTCAGACTATGAGAACATCCAGATCCCAGGCAGACCCACCAGATCCCACACTGTGACTGAGTTTTTTGAGGACCCAAATCGCACTACAGTCGCCTGCAATGAGAATGATGGCTATGTGGATATGAACAGTTTCCCTGGGATTGACAGCATAACCCAGACATCAAAAGAAGACACTGAAAGGTATAGTAAAAGCTTGATAAATTGGTTTTGTACTATCTCAAGCAAACCTGAAAGGGTAAATTTTGAAGCTACAAAAACACGTTACCTTACATGTTTGACCTAATCTGCAGTGATACCCTGCCATACATATTTTTGTTTTTATTAACCCAGGTTTTGACTTATCTTTCTCTTAAATTTCTGCTGCCAGCTCACCTTGGCGGACCCAAAAGTCCTTTACAGACCAAAACTACCTGCATGGGTATAAACATGGGTGTACTGACCCTTTAATGTATTAAGTATTACGTATTCATCAGCATCATCCATGACTATGCTTAGAGCTTGACAATTAATCAAATAATAGATCAGTTTATTAAAACCATTTTCAAGCAATGGTGCCAAATGTTCACCGGTTCCAACTCCTCAAAGGCGAATATTTGTTGGTTTTCTCAGTCGTTTATGATGATAAATTGAACATATTGGGGTTTTGGACTGTTGGACAAAACAAGATATTTGAACACATGAGATTGGACTCTTGGAAACTGAGATGGCTATTTTTCATTCACTATTTTCTTACATCTTATAGACAAACAATTAATCAATCTGCAGAAAAAGTCAGTATCATAAAAAGTCCTAGATCGCAACCTTAAGCCCCGTTTCTACCAAACACTTTCGGTATCGTACCTTTAGAACCAAAGTAACCCTTCAGACATGGTACCTAGACCCTAGCGTTTCCTCTGCAAACAGTACTCTTTCATATGGGCGGGGTTGTTGTCACTCACTGCTCCATCTAGCACGGACTGTATTTCCTCCTTTATCAGTCTGCACCTCATTTATCATCCATAGAACGAGGTTGCACGCTGACATTTTCAGAACAAAAAAGAACAGGCTGGAGCGAGAGTCTTACTCAGTGGGATATTTGAAAATAGCGGGTTTGTGCATTTAGTCTCTCTAAGGCAAGATCAGGGGTTTAGTGTTCCCAGAGCCCACAAGAATGACGCTCCACTACGCTTATTTTTCTCCGAGTGAGAATTAGAATATATGCAGTTCACAATATCTGGTTGAAATTAATATATTTTTTAAACGCTTTACCAGTGTATGTAAAACTCTCCACGGTATGAACAGAGGTTGCATGAGCCTCAATACCAGCCACAACTCAGCCCTGAGCAGAGTGACTGTCCACTATTGACCAATCAACGACTGCAGTGTTCACAGCTCCACCTTTTAGTACCAGATCTGTGTGCTAGGTACCCCAACAGAGGGGTGATCATAAATGGTTGCTAAAACTGGCATAATGTTTTAACGAAAACCTTGATATCAATATTGCAATGAGATTAGAGAGCTGTCTATCGGTGATTTCACAAAATATTTACACAATGAGATTTTTGAAAAATTATCATCAGTATTATTGATATAATGACTAAGTGCATAAAAGCAAATAATAGAACAACTAGAACAGTGTGGTAAGAACAGAAAATAATATCACTTTACTGTAAAGCAGCCTTTAACACCAGGAAAACACAACACTTACAGAATTACAGTATCCAAAATCTAAGATGATAACTAGTCTCATATCACGATAAGGATATAATATTGATATATTGCCAAGCCCAACCTGAAATGTATTTTTATTTATGATCCAGTATGGTGTCACAGCTAATCCTCCTATACATGCCTGTATTAAACTGTAGCGGCTAAGCTTGCATGTCACTTTGTAGTCATTTGAACAGGTGAGCGTGCTTATCGCTGGAACCACTTTTAAAGTAGTCAGCTGAGTTGTTAAGCCCACACCTGGCTGCTCAGAGGTGCAATCTTGACCCCTGAACAGCTGACAGATATTCATACATTGTATCTCAGATGAGCGGGGGGCACCTGGCTGAGTAGAATCGGATTTCCCTCTTGTAGGAAAAGTGTTTGGTGAGAGATGAGCAGCCTGCTGTGTCAGGCATGGCTAGCTTTGGGAAGATGGACAATGCTTGTGGGAGAGCTTACTCCTGGTTTTCATTTGGTGTGTTTAGAGGTCACATCTGGTGCCACCGCTTCCTATGCAGAACTGAGGTGATAGAACCGGTAATGGCGGGCTTACTGAGGGCAGGTTCCTCACATTAGATGAAGTCATTATGGGCCGCAATTAAAAGTGATAAAATGTGGGGGAGTTCCTTTCACACAAGTAAGCGGAGAAGGATGAGGGGAAAAGGTGAGAGAGCAAAGGGAGGGGATGTGTTAATAGAAGGTGCAGAAGACGAAGAATACAAAGAGTAAAGTGATAAAGTCATATAGAAGAGGGGGAGGGGAAGTAAGAACAGGAGAAAGGGAGCTGGAGCCGTTCTGGTGTAATTGCTCTCCTGTACCTGACACTTATTGTTAAGTTTAGGAGAGCTTTTATTAAAGTAGCTCTCTCTCGAGTGCTTCTCTTTCATTGGACCCTTAAGGGGCCACAGGATTTACTGCAGTGTGTGATAGAGTGAGGAATCACCACGGTCAGACTGTACCAAATTACCCCGGCCTGTGCCACAGCTTCAGCCACTACGGGCTGCAGTCTTTCCCCAGTCTTAATAAAATAGTTGTGTTTGATGACCTGTGTGTAGTCAAAGAGACAGGCCATTACTGAGAGCTTCTTAAAAGGCTTAAGAGGTAAAACGCATCGGCATTTGTTTTTATTTCTTGTGGCGCTCTTTGTATTTCAGGTGCAGCTAAGTGCTGTTTATATCACCATTTCATTTTGCAGATGTCTTTCATATCTGTTATGAATATATAGAGAAACATTTCATCTTGCAGCTCATATTATTCGTATAACTTTCCACTCACATAAAGCTTGTCTCCTCCAGACATTCTGAGCAGCAGTCGACACTATACCATGATTCTTTTTTTTTACAGTGTATTTTAAACTCCATACATATCTCAACATTTGAAACCTCTCCATTTCCCAGACAATGGTCCCTCAGTGAGGGCTCTTTTTCTCCCGGTGATGTTATCGATGTGGCTCATTGTGTGGTGGAGGTTTCACACCACTCACAATGATGCAAAGAACCTATCTGTCCTGTCGCCTCCCCTTCACTGCATTCCCCCCGGAGATGCTTCTGTTGCCAGGGTCACTCTTTGGTGTGCCTATACAGGGCTTTTTTATGTGTATTTGAGTGTGCGTATATGTGTGCACACAATATACGTCATGTGTAGTCAGTGTAGGTGTTTGTCAATGCCTTTGTGTATACATCTTACACTAAACTCTGTTCAAAACTTGACATTGCCGTCGTCCCAGGCTGCCCAGCTGATGATGGCAGTGATTTATTGAGAACACATTCAACAGCCAACATGGTTTTTAAACCCACAGAGGAAAAAGCGGATTTTTGTGGTCAGCAAAATGACCAAACGGCCTCAGAGCACTGCACACAAAAGGATCGTGCCTACAGTAGCAGACACGCATTTTAAGGAGGACTCACAAAGCTGCTGTTTCACGGGCTTGGCTTGTTTCCACTTGTGTGATTAATGTATAGCACCATTCAGACACTACTTCAGCACAAGCATTCAGGCTAAGCAAAGAGACATGTTCATTAGCAGGCTACCACAGTGTACAATGGGAAAAGAACAGGCACACTAATGATTCATCCCAAACCTAACCAAGGTGTTTGTGTGTGCGTGTGTTTGTGTACATATATTTGCATGCACACTAAGTTACAACTTAGAGCTGCTTTATCAAAGACAAGGCTCCTGCTGATAATGCAGTCTCAGCAGAGTTGTCCTTGCCAAGGAGCCTTGTAACAACAAATGAGAGTTGAAAAAGGCATTTTAGCAACGAAAGCCCAGGATTTGTGATTGTGCTCAACTCAGAGCCCATTAAGTGTCCTGTCCAGGTAGACTTACAGCAGTAATGCAGATGTGTTGCTGTCCCTGTGCACACAGGAAACAGAGCTATAGTGTAATGTATGCAAAAATGTACGTCTCTAGCTCACCCTTTGGTGTCATTCTCACTTCAAACTGAACATGAACCTCCTCAGAGTGATGACAAAGCCCTGCCATGGCCTCTAAAACAGCTCCTCCACCCACTGTTATGTTAGTGTTAGTAGTGATGAGGGAGCCATCTTAAGTACATTGTTGTACTGGGTGGTGGCTGTGTGCTGTGTGGCGAGGTGGTGGACAGGGCGTATCGTTTGGCTTGCCAGGCCTGGTGCCAGGCGCTCTGAGGTCATTGCCAGGTCATCCCCGGGGAGGAAGTGTCCAGCCTAGGAGCTTCCCACCAGCCTGTTTACAGGAAATGCAGGGATGAGGGTGGGGCTGTGGCGGGAGGCAGGAGAGGTGGAGACAGGAGAGGATAGATAGGATGAAGGGAGGGAGGAGGGGGTCACCGTGGTGGGGCGGAGGTTCCCAGACTCTCCCTTGAACAACAAGATGAGGTGTGGTGCCGTCAGGAATGCCAGGTCTGCTGTTATTGTTGCTCCAGTTTTTGGGAACTCCTCCCACATCATACACCCTGAAGTACCCTTGGTATGATGGCAGAGAGCTTAGAACAAGTGAGCAGAGGGTGTAACAGTGTTGCACATATGGTCCTGAATCACAGCCTGTCACATAATGCAGGGTTATTACCATCCAAAGTCATCTTCCTCCACGTCACAGGTGTAGCAGAAGCAGTCAGAGCGCCGGCGTCTTCACAAATCACCTCATCACACACTGTCACAACAGCACAACAGCCACAGGCTACATGTAATCATCATCACCAAAAGCAGCAAACTATTTAAAATGCCTTTCAATCTCTTGATTCCCCCCATCAGTATCCCAATCATCTATACTTGGCAGGCTAATGAACCTATTCAGCTGCTCCTATTTCCTATAATAGCGCCATTACAAGCCGAAAAGGGCCTGTCTGATTGCACCTAATATATATTTTAATACTCAATGTTTAGCTCAATTGAATTATATATTTCAGGCATCATCAAATTCACAGGAGATCGGTGGGATACAGGTCTTTTCCTAGAGAGTCATTTTGTCCTCCTCTGAATCTGACACAGTAGATTTAACATTGCCATGTTATCAAAGGCTTGCAATCTGCTGGAATAATAGCACAGCCTTAATGGTCTTGTAAAAGGGGCTTCATGTATTACCACATTACAGTATCACATATTTGCAGGTTTAAATATGGAAACATTGCATGGAGCTGACTGGAGCTAAACAAAACCTGTAATTGAGATTTTAAACGATGGGCTACGTTGGTATAGAAGAAATCAGAACATCAACTTTAAAGATTAATTGTAAGTGCTATTGATCAGTGACAAGTTTGTTTTATTGTTAGATGGTGTGACTTGCTGCAATTCAGAGAGACATATATTTCAGTGTAATGTTGAAGAGGTTGTTAAATATGTGAGGTTACTTTGTCCCTGTATATTCTGACCTCCGAATCTTTATTTTGGCTCTGTGCAGCTTCTGTACATATGTGACAAATGAACAGGAAGTGAAGGTTTCAGCTTGAAATGAAGTGAATTGAGACAAAGATGAAAACAATACAGACTAAAGTTAGCCACAGTTAATGTTTTAATGCTAATAGTTTTTACGTATAAAGCACTTTCCAAAGCAGCATGACAGAGTGCTTCACAAGGCAGCAAAGCAAAACAGACACATCATAAAATCAACTGGTTTTAAAGAAACATAAAAACAATTTGGTGTATAAAAACCAGGAAATAAAAGACAGTTCAAAGAAAATTAGAACTCAAGTAAAACCATGAAAAGCTCTTCAATAAAAGTATGTTTTAAGAAGACTTAAAAGAGATCACTGACTCATCCGACCCAATTTCCTCTGGGCAGATCTTACGAGGCCTCGACTGCAAACACTCTGTCCTCTTTGTTTCCTGTCCAAGAAAAGTGAGATGTGATTTACAGAAGAAATTATTCCAGTCTATGTATTTGTAGTCATTGATTTTTTTTTGTTTTTCTTTTGGGCTCTTCAGGAAGACATTTTTATAAATTAGACACAGCCCTTCATTACAGCACAGACAGGGTGCTGTCGAGAGTGAAAAATGTGAAGGTGAGAATCCGTGGCAGAGTTTCTGTTGGACACATGAAGGAATTCCCCTCACTCGTAGAATAAATCAGAGCTTAAGACCCATTCCTCCTGTTCTCCTCCCTCCCAACATCACCCAGGAGCCCACGGCAGGTTCATCTGTCTACTCAGAGGTCAACCATGAGTAATGGCCTGTAGGTGCTTTCTTCAGCCCACCCAATAGGGGCAATGGGTGTGTGTGTATGGTGTGTGTGTCTTGAAGTATGAGTGTGTCTGAATAGAGATGAAGTCCAGCGGGTAACTCTGTTAACCTTTGGTCTCCTAATAGCCGTCTACTCTCTGCACACACGGGGGGGCTGTTTAAAAACATCAGGAAGAGCATTCATTATTATCTGTAAAATGCCAGAAAAAGGTGAGCAATATCTCACAATCATAGCTTCTTAACACCCAAAGTGACATCTTCAAATTGTGCGTTTTATTGCACAAAGGGCCAAAACCCAAAAATGTTCAGTTTATTATCACAATAGATAAAGAAAACCCCCCCAAAAAAATGCAATTAGAGTGTTTGGCATTTTGCCTGAGAAAGGTAATTCGCCAGCAGAATATTGCAGATTATTTTTCTGTTGATCAGAAGATTAATTCATGGGCTAATCTCTGCGGCCTTAGATCAGAACATCTGTGAGGTCGTGAGACAAGTTTAGAGAAAGTCTTGAGTATTGGTACTCAATATCAACTTGAATAACCCAGTACCAAAAAGTACTGAAAGTCAGTTAATACCTGCACCCATTCCTTTTTTGTACCCATATCTGGAAAAAAAGAGTATATATATGATTTTGCTCACAGCCAATCACCCAAAAGTGTTCTTTGTTGTAATGCAGTGTGTGTAGCTACAACCCGTACAGTCTGTGGTCAAGTTGAGCACAGTGTATTTGACAGAGTTGGCAGTTCGAAATGCAAAGATGCCACTAAAAACATTTGAAAGTATGGCAAGACTTAACAACAGTGGCATTTTGTGGCATTTTACACAGCTGAATGCTTCTATTCCAGGGGAAGGCAACCATGCAGCTCTTTAACACTTCTCCAGTGGCTCCCTGTGGCTGTGACAGAAAACTATATGTTTTTTAAAAAACATATTTTAATTTTCATTAATTGTTGTTGGCCTTAAGTGATTCTTACATTCTTCAATTGTAAAAATGCGTAGCCTACACTCCGATTTAACATTTCGTGAACTGAAATGTGCGACATTCATCTGGCCTGGCGCCTTTCCCTCTAAATGCTTCACTAGCAATGGCTACAGTGGCCTTGACGCTTCCTAGCTTGGCTAGCTGTGGATTCCAAATACCAAAAGGGAAAAGTTTTGAGGTAAAATAGAGGACTTAATAGTGTGTGGACAAATTTGTTTGCTTTCACTGGCAACGCTGCAAAGTTTAAGTAAATCAGAGATAGCCCACTGCAGAGTAGCCACTTTGTGCTAACACGTATTAATGAACACTCATTTAGATCTATTAGTAATGTTCATAGCCTAAATTCGACTTAAAATGCTGTGTTACCTTTATCATGAGGGTCAAATGTGTTTTGCAGATCCAGACAGATTTCTTTTTCTTGGCTCTTTTGATAGCAAAGGTTGCTGCCCCCTGTTCTAGTCACATGATGGGTATTGAATAAAGTAAAAAAAAAAAGTATCAAATGAAGTACTCTGTTGGTATCTGTATCAGTTTAAGGGTACTGGTATCTTAATTTCATTTAACGATACCCAGCCCTATCTATGATCTGTTGATTGGTGTATTCTTCATATTCATGTGGATAATAGAGCTACAATGATAAATTGATTGGTTGTCAACTATTACATTTTACTGATTTGATAATTGATTCATTGGTTTAAGTTATTTTTTAAGGAAAAAATTCTCAGATTCCAGGATGGTTGTTCACTATGACAGTAAACTGAATAACTTTGGGTTGTGGACAAAGACATTTGAGGACGTCATCTAGGGCTTTGGGAAATACTGAAATACTGAAATTTTCACTATTTTATAACATTTTATAGACAGAAAAGTGATTGATTAATCAAGAAAATAATCATTAATTGCAGCCCTGGTGGATAAAACAAATGAGATTTCATAATTCTTTGCAGTTTACGTTCAAAATCAGTTTGTTTTTTATTGAATACATCAATCAGTTCTTCAGAAAGAGAGTGTTTGTTAGCTATACCATTCTGCACAGATAAGGTGATGATGAGCAAAGACATTATGCTATGAATCCTTCCCTCTTCTTGTGAAACCTGGTAGCTGCCATAAAGCTGCTTTGAGAATACATGTTATCCAGTTATCATCCTGGCGATGTCAGTTTGGTCAAACACACTGTAATGGGTCTTAATGGGCCAGAGGACATTAATAATTACCACAGGTAGCATTTAAAGGGATTACATGTGAAGTGACCTACAACGTGCCCCCCTCAGGTACTGCAGCACCCAAAAGGATTATCAGTGTACAAACACAACTGTGCCGTCTGTGGATGAACTAATGATGAAAGAGATTACGGCGTGCCACTGGAGGCCTCCATACGGGGAGTGAAAATGTTCAGAGACACACACAGGAAAAAGGAACAACATATTTACGGGGGATTTATTGCTCAGTGTTTTGAGAATATGCTGCCGCAAAGATTTACTGTAAATGTGCTATTTGGAGTTTGTGTCATCAATGCCTCCCTGCATCCCCAATTGAAAAGATTCAGTGTCTTTCTTTATGGTTAAAGCAATGCTGTTGAACACATCCTCGAGTGTAGATGCTGCTGTAGTATTAAATATTTATATTTGTGTATCCTTTTGCTGTATTCATACTTTTTTTTCTGCTCTCGGCAGTGCCTACACAGAGCCTTTCCCAATGAACCCTGTCCCTGCTGGGCTGTCAGCGGACGAGGACCACGGGCGTACTTCAGAGGAAGAAGAGGGGGTGGCTGAGCAGAGTTATGACCGACAGGTGAGACATGCGATGCAGAGACAAATGAAAGCATGGTAGAATGTAGTTTATTCAGTCCTACCAGCTACCAACTGGCATAACAAGTAGACTTAATGAGTGAAAAATGCTGCAAGTCCTGTTTTACTCTATTACCAGACCCTAGATTGTAATTTTTAAAGGGACAGTTCACCCTAAAATCCTTTCCTTTTACCTGCAGTGCTGTTTATCAATCTAGTTGAGAGAGTTTTAGTGTGACAGAGACGTCTGCTTTCTCTCCATAATGGAACTAGATTGCACTCAGCTTGTGAAGCTCAAAGTGTTCAAAGTAAAACTCCAATTTAAAGCCTACTCCCTTTTACTACCCTGGTGTGGCTACACATTTTGACAGATAAAGGCCTGTCTCAATCAGACGCCTGGTCTGTTTGCCAAGCAGTTCATTTTTTATATGCATGTTCTTCGGATGTATAAAAGCGGGTTGTTGACTACCTCAAATTATTCGTCCATTTCTCGATTACCCAGAATCAGAAGGGTTTTTCATAGAAATGAATCCAAGTTGTGAGTATTGTTTTAATAGGATAAAGTGGTGTTGTGCTGGTAAGTTGGGTGCCGTAATCATTAAGTGCCTCATCTCTCCGTGATGTGTTATCTGTTGGAGCTAGATCAAATGAATGATTCGTAATTGATGTATTATTTGAAGCCTAATTTTTATACAAGTAATATTCATGCTAGTTCAAATAAACAATTTTATTGTATTTCCTGATCTTTGCTGAGCAACAGTTTTTTGTGAAAGGAATTAAAGGCCTGTCCCAAATGTAGGCCCGTTGATTTCAGGGATTTACGCAGACAATAGCCCGGGCTATTAATTGAAGTTTTACGGTACATTTGAAAAACTCAACAGCAATGCCTCTTTACAGAAATCATGACCCAGTTACTCAAGATAATCCAAAGACATTGTTGTGAGCAGTTTCATGTAGGAACTATTTTCTCTCTGCCAAACTACACCTGCCAACTGTATCACTGCACAGATGGAAGCATGCACCTACTACTAGCTAACTAAAACACAGAGCTAGCTGACATTACAGCTCAGATGAGGAGGGCGCCAATGATGTTCACATCTTGCGCTGTCATAGCACGAGCCTCTTGTCCGTGAAAAGATACGAGCTTCCTTTTGCGCAGTGATACAGTTGGCGGATGTAGTTCAATAAAAATAAAATAGTTCCAACATAAAGTTGCTCACAACAAGGTCTGTGGATTATCTTGAGTAACTGGGTCGTGATTTCACGGAAGAGACACTGCTATTGAGTTTTCCATCATATTTGAGAGAAGGCAGACATCTCTACAGCTGATAGCTCCAACGCCCAGTAACTCACACCAAAACAATTTAGATTGATAAAAAACACTACAGGTGAGAGGAAAAATATGTATTTTGATTTGATTTGTGAACTGTCCCTTTAATATTTTACACATGCAGTTGTCATTTGAACCAATTTTATATCTTAATATGAATGTAGGAGTACTGTACTATGCACTTTTCTGTTGGTAGATGCATTATAAATGCCACATTCACCAGCCAAAATTGCTTCAGTGGAGCGTTATGTGAGGCATGTACAGGTCCAGAGAGATCGAGCTAGTTGAATATTGCCTCAAACTCCCCAGACTTCCATACAGTAAAAAGGCAGCCATTTTACAGTAGATCAGAGACGGACCCCACCCGTCCTGCTGCCATAATAATACCAGGCCAGAGCTCTCATCATGTGACATGCATTTCCTTGTTTTCTTCTTCTTCAAAGCAAAGAAAACAATAAATAGAGGAAAAAACAGAGAGGAAGAGAACTGGGGGAGACTTGAGTTGGCCCCAGGAACAGTTTCATTAAATGGAACTGTGTTATGGTTTTATTTGGAGGAGATGAAGATCAGCGTGCTTCTAATGCAGTATTTGTGAAATGCCCCACATAGGAAAAAATAACACTGACAAAGCACAGGAGCCTTGCTGGTAAACCCCTAAATGGCTTCAATGTTATGTTTTGGCTCGGATGTTTTGAGACCTGGTGATTAGCCTCTAAATCAATGGGCAGTATTGTTGTCGCCGCACACACACAGCCTCTCATACATAATGCATCTGAACTTAAAAGTCCCGTATTTGAGCAAGCATTCATGTCTATGCTGTACTGTAATGAAATAATCAGTCTTATTTTGACAGCGGAAATCTAGCAAAAAGAAAAAAAAAAGTGAATTTGCTTTTCCGCCTGTTTCCTTGGCTGCTGTGTCGCTGTTCCTATTAATGTTTGAGAGGAATAAATGCCCACGGAGAGCCTTTAAACATTAGCTGTGTTCATTCATCTCCCACTGTTCTCCCTCCCTGTCACGCAGATTGATGGCCGATCCCGAGCGTTCTATGTCGCCAAGGAGCTCCTCGACTCGGAGAGACTGTGAGTATGGATTTCCCCAAATGCACATTTCCACAGTGTGTCATCACACACAAACCTCTGCATCCAAATCTCATGCACCCTGCACCTACTTTCCTATTCCCTCCAACTGTATCTCCCCTGCCCCTGAGCTAATTCATCGAGCAGCATGCAGAGTAACTGACAGCCAATTACACAAGTGTCTTGTGTAACTTATTAAACACGCCGGCCCTGCCCTTGCCCTGTTACACACTTAACCATTCTTCTGATGTGGTTTTCTCATCATGCATAATTTAGATAATTTAATGAGCCTTGTAGAAAGATTAACATAGCTGTTTAGAAGGTTGTAAATTCCTTTTCGCTGTTTAATTAAATCTTGTGTTCCTCTCTTTTTGTTTTCCAGACACGTCAGTGCCCTCAAGTACCTTCAGGAGGTAAGAAACCCGTCGCTGCCACGCCCATAAGTGTGTCACATTCGCTCTAAATGTCTCCTGCTTAAAGGCCTATTAAACTTTATTGAAAACCTCCTGATAACATCACATCCTGTGTGTCTGCTCCCCAGTCTCTGTCTCCGTCTTCTCCTCCTCCCCCCTGTTGTAAGGCTCTGCTCAGGTTTATCAATGTTGTTGCAGCAAGATCTGCTTCCTGGTCTTGACAAAGTTGACATGTTGTACCCTGGAGTGGTTGGTTGTAAGATGACGCAGGGTGCGTGCACCAGGCTGATGCTGTCCTTGTATCCTTATGTGGACTCTAATACTGAGCTGGCAGTCTGCCTGCTAAAGGTCAAACAAAGGCTATTGGGGCCTTTTATAGTGGTTGTATTGGACGCATGGTTTGATCTCCTTATGAGCAGGTTGGCCATAAAATGGAGAATGAGTGTATTTAATGCACAGAGGATTTAAAGGTGAGCTGTGGTAAGCCCCTCAAGGTTGGTGATGCATCACTACCAACTGTTGTCACCTATTTACATGATACTGGTACAGGTTACAGTACCTATAATTTAGTAAGTAAGTACTTTACTTTCTCTGTAGTGAAAATAATTTAAAGCTGCAGGTGTGATGTAATAGACTAAAACGCATTTCTGCTCCTCTGCTCTTTTCTAATCACACACAGAGCTATTCTTCTGTCTCTCTCTGTCCATCTAGTAGGCTATTACTACAATAATATTAAAAAGAAAATCGACCACACACCAAAATTATCGCATATCAGCGCTATAGAGATAGTTTTGGTGTACTGGGAAGCTGATGGAGTGGCTGCAGTGCTCCATTTTTAGCTTCCCAGCTTCAGGGCGCCTCCGCCTTGAGTCTGAAGTTGAACCTGGTGGCTCCTCTGAGCTCTCTCCTTGGCTTCCAGGCTTCAAGGTGCCCCACGGCACTTCTGCTTCTTGTCTAATGCCTCTTTTTCCACATAGCTCTTTGTAAGTATGCAAGTCAACCAAAAGTCCATTCATTCCCCAGGAAACTCCATGATTTCCGATTTGTTTGCGAGACTCCTCCTTCCATTTTTTGGAGAGGAGGGGGCAGAATTTGCCTTGAGTACGCTGAAAATAGCAGATGATACATCTTTTAGCAAAATGTCTCACAAAACAGGCTACACACCTGACATGCTAACCTTCTCACTTCTTTTTCGCCATTTGTTATTGGTCCTGTTTTTGTCTCTGTTCTTCCCCATGGGCATTTTCTACCAGACTGGATGGCGAAAAATACTCACTGTGGTGCCATTTTTATCCATACAAAAAGAGATGCTTTTTGTGGCATTAGACACTAGGGGCATACTCCACATACTATATGGAAATATGGACACAAAGCAAAACTATTTGCATATGAGGCAGAAACAAGGTGGAAAGGAGGCCTTCTCTCACATGCGCTCTCAGACACCGACACCGGCACTGTTGGATTTAACGTAAACTGGTGCTTGGTAGTACTGATATAATTTGGTCAGTACCCTAAAACCAGGGCCGGATTATCAAACAATGGGCCCCTGGGCACAGATATGCAAAAGGCCCCACCACCTCTCCTATATAGAAGCAAGAAACACAGACTTTATTGTTGTGAAGCCTCTTTCTTCAGTTATTTTGTGTCTCTTTGCAGTCACTTTGTGTGTCTTTGATGTAATGTGGGGTTTTTTTGGGTTGTTTTCTGTCTCATTGCAGTTCTGTTGTGTCTCTTCCTGCTCAGTATGTGTTAACTTGAGTGGCATTTTGCAGGTGGAGGCCAGGTGGGCCGCCTGACACTGCTCAGTAGGCTTGTTGAGTAATCCATCTATGCTTAAAGGTACTGAGATTGGTACCCAACCTTGATTCTCACTTACTGCCTGCTGAAACAAGACCACATCCCTCTAGAGTTAGAAACAAAGAAGGATGTTTACCAAAAAATACCACACAAAAGACTGAAACGGTTGAAACAATCATTTAATTTTAATGAAAAAGGAAGGTCCTACAGGAGAGGTCAGATAGGCATCACGTTTTAAAGAACGGTGTGGAATAGTTGCTATTAAGGTGATGGTTGCCACTACAAATCTGACAGGTAGAGTCATTGAACTCAGAGCAGCCCATCAGTCAGCCTGTACCTTATAACCTTGAATGAGGTCATAACCTGAATTCCTCATGTGTACCCCCTCACTGTGATTTATGAAGGCCTGCTGCGGGTACAAAAGCAGCTGCTTTGTGTAATGTGTAATTTGATGCCATTAAACGGCAAGTAATGCAAATATTATACAATGGACGTCTCTAATAATCATAAATCTGCAGCCTCATCATGATGCTCAATTATACTAATTAGCTGCTGCATGCCAAAGTACAGACAGCAACATATGCTGCAAGTCAATACGGGCATCAGTGCCTCAGAAGTGACATTTTGACAGCGTAGCCTGAAGCGTGAAATCTGTTTTTCAGTGTAAATGATCTGTTTTCACAAATTCTCACTTTAAGAGATACTGAGTAACCTTGGCGTGCACCGCTCTTCACTGTTACCATACCTCCTAATTGAATCTTTTTGCCACCTTTCTGAGGTGACATTGAGGGCTTTTTCATCACGCTGTTGCATAATGCATAGGTGCACCGTTCGGCTCTTATTATTCTTCAAACTTCAAACAGTGATGTGCCGAGATATTAGTTACCGTCCGATGCAGACTGATGTCATAATTAGAGTGAAACTGAGCAATGTAGCTGGGAAACACTCCAGCGGCACAACATGCACAAACACACAAAAACAGGAGCAGCGTTAAGTGAGAGGCACACATGAGCTATTGTTCCATTGTTTGATAAGGAATAACAAGAATACAAAGAATTTCCAGACCCTGTCTCCACATAGGAAGGGAGGCCGTGCTCCTCTTCTAAAGGACTTTCCCTGTAACAGCTTCAACATATGAGGCTAAGACTAAGTATTTTTTCTCGTTTGTAACCAGCGACCTCTGAACAGATCCTCTGTGCTGAGTTATGACCGAGCATGACTGGCTGCTCAACCAACTGCTTAACGTTGCTTCTTGACCCGCCTTACGTGAGGGAAATAGGGATAAGGTGGAGAGGTGGCCAGCGAAATGGAGAGTAAAGCTCCTCTCATTCATGGATCTGAGTGTGTGTGTGTGTGTGTGTGTGTGTGTGTGTAACCTGGGAGACAGAGTCAACCAGAGCTGTTAAACTAGCTGTTCTTCTCCCTAGCAGATGTGATGAATGTTAACTCATACTCGATCGATTGCACATGATGAACGGCATGTTCTGAAGCGCCTGGTGTCACCACATTATCTCGCAGCCGACTGGGACAACTCTATTTGTTTTATGTCTGTGCTTTGCTCAGAACTGGAAGAGATGGGCTCCAGACACTTATCCCTTTACAGACATGCCGAGCCTTTATATATATATATATATATATATATATATATATATATATATATGTGACGTTTGTTTTCCAGACAGCTTGGCCCACAGAGGAAACTGAGATTTTTTAAAGCATGCTGACACCTCCTAACAATTCAACCACCTCCATTCATGTTGTGTCTTCATTTGCTGAGTAGATAAATAACCTCTCCCCTGGTTTTTCACTCCTGTGTGCCATAACTCCTCATATTAGTCCTCTTAGTCTCTGACACTGCAGCTGTTAATGCCTGTTGCTCGTGTTTTATGTGTGCTGAATGGACTTCAGTGGACCTGAATTCATTGTAGATCAGTGTTCTTGTCTACAGGCTCTTGTCTACGGTGAAATGAAAAGTGGGGAGTATGTACAGTACAAAACAGCATTGTGTCATTGAGTACCAAGGTCTTTATGCAACAACACCTGGTGTGTAACTCTTGTGTAAGCAGCACCGCCTTTCCTGAATGCCTGGACAGAGCCCATAGTGGTGGGGAGTCACTGAGGTGATTTGAAGGGAGGGTGGCAGGAAGGATGTTTAGGAGGATCTGACCTTCCTTCCTTCCATTTTTCTCCCCCTTTTCATTCCTCATTCCTCAATGCCTTGCATTTCTGCCGCTCTCCCTCACTTCCTCCTTCCATCCTAACGACTATTTCCTCCATTCTTCTCTCTTTCTACCCCACATTTTTTTGTGTTATTAAAAGTCTCTCCTCACAAATCCTTTTTTCCCTCCCCTGTGCAGGACTTCAGGTCAGCGGTGACAGAGGCAGTGGGTGAGGAAGAGGAGCCTGTACTGGAGGAGCAGAGGTTAGGAGAGATATTGGGCGTGCTCCCCCAGGTCTACACCCTCCACAGCAGCATCCTCACTGAGCTGGAGGAACGCGTAAGCCAGTGGTAAGAAACACTGTGGACAATGTAGTCACAATATAGACAGAGAAACTCAGACAGCCTACTACAGTATGGATGTCGAGTAATGGCCACAATTAATTACTTTTATTTTATTTTCACAAACATAAGGTTGCATAAAATACAGATAATGAAAAAGAAGGAATGTGTCTGGAGAGTACAGCAGACCTCTGCTCAACTTACGGAGAGAAACAAACAGTAAGGAAAAAAATCAGCTTACAGAAATGCATTTATTCTCCACTGAACTCACAATAGTAACTCCACACATCCCAACCCTGCTTTAAAATGTACAGCAGGACGACATAATAATTTGGGAGGTCATTCCTCAACCAGGAGGCCTTGCATAGCTGTAAACTTTACTGCACTGAAGTGCTTTGGAGCAAGTCACTGTATACCTTCATAGGAGTTTATGATATTTATCATCTTCTCTGTCCTTTAAAAAAAAAACATCCTAAAGCATTAGTGCTGTACTTTTCTCATTCTTAAATCAGTGCTGATTTTTTAAGGGGTAGTTCTACATTTTGAGAAATGTGATTATTTACGTATTATTATTATTATTTTTTTTTTGTCTTCTTCTTTTGTTTTTGCCCCACTGCCCCTTTTTATCTCTATCTCATCAGAATGGACAGAGCCAGCCATCATTTCTCTGTGACACATATTGTACTTTGAGTTTCATCTGCAAAACCAACAGTTAAATGTGTATGTTGTTTTGTATTGAAAGCTATATTTGCATATGCGTTTGTATGTTTTCTCATTATACAGAGTTTTGATACTGTATATCATCGACAAGTGTGATTTCCTTCCTGTCCAGGGTACACCCCCATGCCAGACTATAACTGGGCTCTCATGTCTGTGCACTAAATATAAGGCAGCCTTCTAGCTTAGCTTAGCATAAAGACTGGAAGCAGGGGGAAACACCTAGCCTTGCTCTGGCCAAAGTTAAAAAAAAAAAGCCTACTAGCACTTCTAGCGCTCACATGTTGTGCTACTGATTGTTTGTAATAAATTGACAGGTATGAGAGTTGTCGATTTTCTCATCTTACTCTCTGCGAAAAACACATCTTTTCTGAAATGTTCTGAAACTGTTCCTTGAGACCGAAACCTCAGTTGTTGTGTTATAGTTGGAGACTCTCAGCAGCAGCTTCTTTTAAGAGTTAACATTTTGAGATGTTCCACAAAGATGGTAAATGGACTCACTCTTGTGTAACGCCTTTCTAGTCTTCTGACCATTCAAAGCACTTTTATACTACTTGTAACATTCACACACACACATTTATACACTTGGGGCCAAGGCTACCACACATGGTGCCTACTACTCAGTTAAAGTCATTCAGACGCACTCACGCACCGATGGAGGATACTTCGACATGCGTACTGGAGGAGCCTGGGATCAAACGACTTGCTCTACCTCCCGAGCCACAGCCAACCCAAAGAGACCAAAATGAAGCGCAGTCACAAATATTGTAGAATTTCCTGAAAAACAAATGACTTTCTGACTCTCAGAAGTTGCAACTGAAAGAAAAATGTTTACATCTGTTTGTGAAAGGTTGTCAATGAAGGAAGTCACTAACTGAGGAAGAGGTAGCCTGGTTGTAGGAAAGTGGTAACATCTTGAAAAAAAAAAAACGTTCTTGATATGCACCGCACATTGTAGACTTTGGATATTTACATTTATGTAACTCACAAACATTCACTGTGCATGAAGTGACTAAAGAGAATGTACCTAATCTCTGATTTTCCTTTATGCCCAGGGAGGAGAGCCAAAGGGTGGTAGATGTGATCCTGTCACGTCAGGAAGACTTCAAGGTGTTTGACACCTTCATCTCAGAGTATGATCGCAGCATGTCCTTACTGGAGGAGAGCTGCAAGGACAACCAGGCCTTCAGCGACATCGTCAAGAAATTTGAGGTAAAACGCTGATCAGACCTGAGCAGATAATGCAGCTCTTAGTTGAGTCTCCTGCCAACAGTAGGTCTTTTTGTCCATGTCCAAATTTTCCCATTTTCCCTTGTGTTTTTACAACTGAGCGATACTGAATGTAGGTTCGGAACACAGTTCAACACCAAATTATTCTCTTCAAAAGGGAGCTGGAAGAAATATTTTGATAGTCACGTATTCAAATCTCAGTTTCTCTGTTTGTGAAGTGGAAGTGACGCCGCGTGTGTTTCCAGGGAGCAGAGATCGAACCCGGTATTTCCCCTGGCACTCACTCAGAGGCTCTCAACTTAGATTTTGTCACCCAGCTTCCGCGGGGAGATAATGGCCTTTCTAAACCATCTCTATCCCGCTCCTCTCCATGGGACTGACCTTTCCTCTGCCATGCTCGCATATTTTATACCCACTCGACACCAAATACTCATTCTTTGTCCAGCATGGATCTCTTCATCCTTGATACTCCCTGGAGAGCAGGGTAGTGGGATTTAGATGACGGGATCAAAATTCAGCAAAAGCTCATTTTAAAACCATCACAGTGGTCTACGGATTGTGTGCCTGCCTGGTCCACTTAAATAACACTTTATCCTTATGTTGAAGAGGAATAGGTGCAGTCCAAGCTGATGACAAAGCAACTGACTATTTTTACTAAAAGACAGGACATTAAGAGAGCCTGTAGATAAGGCGACAGAGATACAGCGATGGATTTCTCATTTCCATGCAGCTGTGTCCTGGTCTATACAATTGACTCACAGTATACAGAGTTAAACCAGCTGTGTAGCAGCACACAGGTCCCTCTAAATTAAGAAAAATAGACAAGCCTTTCCCAGGCTTCTGTTTATGTTAAACTTAAGGTTTCACAAAATTACCTATTCAACTCAACAACCCCCTCTCCCCCCCAAATGTACGCATTACCAGCTCCATGCTGTACTCTGATTCACTGTGAGTGGCTGACACAATGGTTCCAGGCGTTTCTAGTTTGATAAGAAAAGCTAACGGACAAGCCACCAACTGTCTCTGCTCATGAATATTCAGAAGCAGCTGCCCCTTCCCAGGAAAACTTTGGCTCTGCCAGACTTTAGTGGAGCTGATGTAAACTGAAGGGAGTGGAGGTGAAAGAGATGAAGACTCTAAAGCGTCACAATCAGCTCATGATTTAGCCCTCTGTAACCTTGATCAAAGTCGGTAATGTACTGCTTCATTTTAGAGTCATGAAGTTGATAGTAGTCCCTTTTCTCACATCATAAAACACTAATTGCTATCTGGAGTAGCCACAGATGGATTGACTTGTAAAGAATGATGGATGTATAAGAGGTGATCATCTTATCTATGGACACAGAAGGCAGAGCTGGAAAGTAAAGAGAAAATCAAATATCACAATATTTTTGACCAAATACCTCAATATTGACATTGTGATGATATTGTAGGGTTAATTATTGGTCATTTCTCAAAATATTTACCCAGTGGCAACCTCTGGGGCTAAAAAATGAAGCCAACACTAAAGTGGCAACAACTGCAGTTCCTTGAATGGCCACTTGAGGCTGGCTCCACAAGCAAGTCAATCCCTGTAGATACCAATCTGAAAATGCCCAAGTTTACAGCAGAATTAAACATGTTTACAGCCTGGTACAAAAGAACATTTTGGTCTCTATAGCTAATTTAAACATTCATGACAACTGTGCTCATCTGTTTACATTTTATAAGGCTTAAAGTTACGCATAATTAAGGGTGTGACTGCTCTGAGTGGCATGTGGTTGCCATCCTTTGACAAGTAGCTACCACAGCAACAACATTGGTTAGGTAACATAACCCCAGATTCACAGAGTATAGGCACAGTGGTAGCTGTCACTATTTAGGTGTGTTTTCAGTTCATGAAAGTTGATTGTAATGCTATGGTCGCCTAAAAAAAGTATTGTTCAGTGTTCAGTTGTACTAAAGGACCCTCTAGGGAGTCAGATGCTCAGTTTTTTCTAGTAAGTGTATTTTGTTTTAATGGTTTACAGCCTGTTTTAGAGAGAAAATTATCGTTAGCATAAGTATTATAACAGTTGTTATAAATGCACCATGCTAACCAAGGTAGCAGGTAGCTTTAGCATTCGCTCCTGCACATATGGTCACTTCTGGCTCTTACAGATTCAGCAAAGCGACAGCCAAAATGCTAAACTTGAGGCTTCAAAACGGGAGTCCACAAACCTCTGGGTGACATTACAGTGGCTTCATCCATTATTTTATACAGTCTATGATATTTACACCATTGGTTCCCAACTGGTCCAGCCACAGGGACCAGATTTCTCCTTAGTCATTAGTTCAAGGTCCGCACAGTTTAATATATTCAGTGCCAAACTTCCTTTGGCCAAGTCGTCGAGCTAGTTTGCTGTCTTTGTTAAGTAGCTGTCCATTAGTCAGTCACTCTAAAGCAGGAAACAGCACTTCAAAATAAAAGCTCAGGCCTGAAAATTCAATGTAATTCAAATTAACATGTTTTTTTTTAAAAACTTGACTCATTTGCGTGTCACTTGCGGTCCATTCAGAATAGACCTGCGACCCACTTTTGGGCTACGACCCCCCAGTTGGGAACCACTGGTTTACACAATGAGATTTCAGTAATGTGGATAATGATTAAGTGGGTTAAGCCAAATAGTGGAACAGCTACAACAGTCTGGTAAGACAATGACATCACTTTACTGTAATGTTGCCTTCAAAACCAGGAAAATACAACACATGCAATATTACCATATCCAAAATCTGAGATGACAGTCGTCTCATATCATGATATCGATCTAATATCGAAATATCGCCCAGTCCTACAGAAGGGTCGGTCTGAATAAAAATCAGGCATTTTAGTACTCCTTATTTGTGTCCATATAAACACTGTGATTTATCATCTGCCTCTAAAATTAACACCCAGAGGCATCTTCAATAATCTTTCCTCAGTCCACCGGCAGATTCTCCAAACCTGCCACTACATGTGCACACTGTATATCGTATTTACGTTTCCCACACTGCATATAAGCCTATAATCTGAGGTCTGTCCTTCCCACCCTCCCACACCAGGGCATTGTGTTTGTGTGTGATGGATGTTGCATTGAATCGGAGCACTGCCTTGGGAATTGCAAGGTGTGTGTGACCCCGCTGTAATGAGGGAGAAGGAGGGCCGAGGGAGAGCAAGGAGGATCTCACGGGTCACGGGATACTCTATATGTACTACCGAGAGGGACGACGGTCATTTATCTGTTCTCTGTATGACAGCTCACAGGCCATTATACTTCACTGGGGTGGGACACTCTGATTTGAATGTTTTTCTCACTGCTTGCAGCTATATTTGTGAATTTAAAAAATGTTCATCAATCTCTGCCATTTTATTCTCTTTCTTTGTTCCAAGACTTAAACCCTTACCTCCCTCAACACGTCTCTTTTTCTCCACCCTCCTTCTCCTCTGCCTTTTTTTTTTTTTTTTGCTACAAGCCAAAGTCCAGCGGTATAAGTGGTAGTAATTTCATTGTGGATGTGGTGATGACAGTGATGAAGTAGCCACAGACCCTGATCAGATCAGAGCTAGACTCTTACAGGATTAAAGCCTCCTCTCCACAGCCACTTGCTTGTTTACCAACACTGTGTTGTGCGTCTTTGTGTGTGTACATGTGCGTTTCCCCCTTTGTGTGAGACTGTGCACCTGGTTGTATTGGTGCCTGTTTCGCAGGGACATGTCCATACACAAATTGCTTGGATCTTGTGAAACTACTTTTATGAAACCTCTTTCCAGAGCACGCCAGCTTGGATTTATATTCATGCCGTGGCCCGTGTTTGTGTAAAGCCTGTGTGTTTCCTCTTGTGCAAGAAGCCCAGGAGGAGAGGAGGAGGCTGTGCAGCAGGTGGACAGAGAGCGATAGAGGGAGAGAGCGATGGAGTGAATTCCTTGTAAAGGCAGCTGGGCAATGAGGCAGACAGAAGCTAATTAGAGAAGCAGCCTCCTTTACAACTCCCCAATTAGATCAGTTGTGTGTGCGCAGGCAGCAAATCAGCTGGCTGTGACAGAGTCTGAAAGGTGTGTTTGTTTGTCCACGCATGTGTGTGTGTGTGTGTGTGTGTGTATGTGTTTATCTCCCAGCACAAGGCTTCACATGCTCTCCCTCCTCTCTCCTCCTCCATTTGGCTCGCTCACCCAAACAAACCACACGCTAATTACCATCTCTGGAAAGCCACTTCCTCTGAACAAGTGTCAATTGGATGACAATTTACAAGCAACACTTGAGGAGAGCGGATGTTCCGAAGCCAAGCGAGTTTAATAATGGAGAGCTGGTTATTATTGTACTTGATGCATCACACGGTGATCATGAGAGAGGAGGAAAGAGAGGAGGGGGGCGAGAGAAAGTGAGAGAAACTCAAACTGAGGCTGTTGCGAAGTTCAGGAGAAAAAGATGATGAGACGGAATAAGAAAAATAGAAACCAAAAGAGGAAGCGAGTATTGGAGAAGGCCTGCTCATTAAAAGAGGCATCAGCTCTCTGTCTCACTTTTAAATCCTGCTCTGCAGATTGTGATAATGAAGACAAAGACTGGTGTGTTTAACTCCCATCCCATCCCTCCCCTTTACAGGCCAAATCAGTGTTATCTCATCGCCAGCCCAAGGTCTGTGTGTGTGCTCGCTTGTGCGTGGAGGGGCACATCAATAATATATTGTATGTGTTTGTGAATGTGTGAGATGAGTTCAGTGCGTGGCTTCCTGTGTGTGTGCGTGTGTGCAGTGTAAATAAGATGAAGATGCTGTTTCCCGCAGGGTGCTATCTGTGCCTCTCTAATGAAGGATAGGACTTCATTGGATTAGAAAAGACTGTGTATGTGTGTGTGTGTGTGTGTGGGTGTGGGTGTGGGTGTGTGTGTGTGTGTGCTCCCAGTCTCCCGTTGCTCCTCTACCGCTCAGGGCATAAATACCTGTCAGAGACAATTAGATCCTGATTGATTTTCTAAAGCTCTCTTTGATTGTGCCAATTTCTGTCCCCTTTCACCTGCAAATGACTACTCTGAGAAGAAGAATGGGACTTGTTCTGGGGTTTTTTGTGCGCTGGAAAGATGCTTGAAGGTCAGCCGGTTTGATAGTGTCCCCATGGTCACTCGTGACCTTGACTTACAGCATCGTATTATAGAGGTTACCACCATGGAGCTGTGGTTTTCTGTGAGTACTTCAGGGCCCCTTTGATGGGACATCACACTGAGCAAAATTTTAAAGGTGAACCATGCAGGGATTGTCGGTTAATTTTCAGCAGGGATAGTGAAAGAGGAAGCCAACCCCAGATTCATTTATTTTAAAAATGCCTCGCCATATACCTTTTTTTCTGCACTGTATCCATGATGTCGTAGCTTCCTCTTAAATGTCTGTGGCTTGCGGTCTGGCACTTGGTTGCCTCCTTTTTATAAAGTCCCCACCTCACCTGCACGCTGTGCCCAGCAATGTCTCGAACACTGCAAAATAAGACGAAAATCCTAAAATACAGACAGAGGGCAGAGTCCTTGCAGATAAATATACCGCCACACATTTCTACAAGGACATAAGTGATGATTGAGAGGGATTACTTTTGATCAGGTGTCAGAGGTGTATTCAGTTTAACAATTCAATAACTCAACACTAATAAAAACCTTTTCATAAAGGATACAAGTTCAAGCATAGACTATGGGTGAATGTAACATGTTTAAATCATCTTTAGAGTATCTGTCAAACATTTTTGTAACCTATGTGAAGTTATGAAAAAGTGTGTGTGTGTGTGTGTGTGTGTGTGTGTGTGTGTGTGTGTGTGTGTGTTTGTGTGCAGGCAAGAAGCCCAGAAGAAGCTGAAGTCCCATTGAAACACCAGCTGCTGCAGGTTATAGTGAGAGTACTTCAATATCGAATGCTACTCACAGGTAATACACAAATACACACACGTACATGGCAATCTTTGAAGCAAGCCCCATTTTTGCTCAGTAGTTGTCAGTGAGGCCAGTTATATCTAATTCGTGATTTTTTTAGCTTTTATGTGTCTTAAAGAAGGCGGCTGCTAACAAGTGACTAAACGAGACAACAGAATGTCATAATGCCAGACACGGCTTTACAGCCCCGTTGTGGTGTTGACGATGAAGGCATGCAATCATGGTGTAGTTTGTCTATAGCCTAACGTTAGCTCTTTACCTCTGCCTATTGCATATATGCTTCAAAGATCATAGAAGTGGTGCTTATTTGGGAAAAAAAGTGGTCCAGTAGGGCTGTAAGGTCACTGGTGTTACTTTGAAGAACCTACAGCATCTGTATGAAGAGAGGGTCACCGTTAAAGCTCAGTCTATTGTCTGAGACTCTCAGCATCCCCTTTATGTTGAGTTTCAGATGCCTCCATCAGAGCAGAGGTTTTGCCTCCCTAAATGTAACACTAAGCTTTACAAATCGTCCTTTGTCCCGTCTGCTATCACTTATCTTAACCAGCAGTGACCAGTAATGTCCATGATTTACCCCTGACAGTGTGTGATACTGGATTCTGTGTGTTATGTACTGTAATGTCTGCTTTGTTGTACTCATGACTACTGTCTGTATCTTAAATGGACAGTTATAAAAAAAATTGTCTCCATATAAATTATATTTTCATTGCTTGCCCATTCTTTCTGTCTTCTCCAGATTACCTGAACAACCTCTCTCCTGATTCTAAAGAATACGAGGACACACAAGGTAAACCTGCAGAATGGAGCTCTGTGATGTTCATAACCGGAACCATAATAGTTTTTCTTTCAGTCCTCAAAGACATGCTGACACACATGCATAGACTTACACACTGCAGCTGCTCAGCATGTATCAGGCTCTACTTGTTAAGCCACAGTCCCTGAGTGTGTCTTTATTGAATTGGCTTGTGCATAAATCTCTCTCTTTCTCTCTCTGTTTGTGTTGCAGCTGCCTTGGTGATCGTGTCCGAGGTGGCAGACCAGGCCAATGACAATCTGAAGCAGGGGGTGAGTTTATTCTGGATACACTCCATGTGTTTACAACATTCCGACTGTTTAGCTCCTGTTGAGTTTGATATATTCACAGCCCAGCGTGCCGTTATTGAGACGCGTCTTTATATTCTTGGCGATGAAAGAGCAATTTTTGGATGGAGATCAGGCGTGAAGAAGTTAGACAGCTGAGGTTTTCCCGTGTATGAATCCCTCTTCTAAATGACACGCCGGAGTGAAGGAGAGGTCTATCCCTCTTTGGCGCCGGCCTCCACAGCTTGTTGATTAACACAAGGGGCGAGGAAAGATGATGTCATCACAAAGTCCCAGGTGTACCCTCACAAAGAGAGCAGTGTAAGGGTGGACATGACTTACGCTTCCCCTCAAACATGAGCAGTTCATGGAGATAATTCACAAACCCTCCCCCCACTGTCTTTCTCACTGCCTCTCACTGTCAAGATCCCCTGCGCCTCCCCTTGGCTTGCCTCCTCTGTTTATCACACTCGCTTATTTTCCTCCTTCTGTGCATGTGCACCAACACACGCACAGGCTGACAGACAGTGGAAACACAGGCTCCCTCTATCTCTGTCCCCCCTTATTCAGTTTTCAGTATCACATCCCTTTCCGCCTCCCTCCCTTTCATTCACTAACAAACAGGGACAGTTTCATTTGTCTCCTCTTCGTCCATCACTGGATAATCTCCCTCCATCTCTCTCTGCTCCCACAGGAGAACTTGCTGCGTCTGGTCCACATTGAGTACAGCGTGAAGGGCAAGAGGGACCTCCTGAAGCCAGGAAGGGTGAGCACCATGTGGCCAGTGTTACTGTCTCACTGTCAAAACACACCAACACATTGTTCTGCAACAACACACTGAGGAACAGCATGTGAAGGCCCTCACAGGGTCTAAAACAAAGTTGATGTAAGCAGCAAGTTGACGGCCTAACATGCCTTTTTAATGTTTTCTGTGTGTGCTGTTTCTTTTGGCAGATGTTTGTGAAAGAGGGCACACTCATGAAGGTCTCGAGGAAAAGCAGACAGCCCCGACACCTGTTTCTGGTAATATTCTTAACATATCACTCTGTCAGACACGTTATTAGAGCGTATTAGCTAGTGTTTACGTCTTTCAAGGCCCAGACACATTAAATCAACATCACAGAACTAGCACTGATGAAGGTCGTCTGTTATGTTGCCTATGTCTCAGCCAAAATGTTGCACTTGAACACACCGCAAAAACTAAGCTACAGGCACCAGTAGTCTATATTCGTCATTCAAAAAGTGATCTCACGCCCTCCTGGCTTTTGCCGTTTGTTTGCTGTCCTCACTCCTGTTTCTCTGAACTGCCGATCAGAGTGATTTCACTCACACGATCTCCGTTGCTGATTTATCATGCTGAATAAGCTAAAAAACAGGACACACCGCAAAAACTAGGGCAACAGACGCCCACTAACAGGGGGGGGTTTATGTGCCAGACTATTTCTTGGCTGGGTGCCGTGCTTTCTTGTAGTTTTCTGGCAGCCACTGTTTTTTTGTACAGATGAATCAAACAAGCTTTAATGTGTTGATGATATTAGGTGTTGACAGGTGTATTTTTACCTTTTGATAGAGCTAGGCTAGCTGTTTTTCACTGTCTCTTGTCTTGCTAACAACCGCCTGGCTCTATGGGTCGCACTCCATATACAATTATTAAATGATTATCAATGCATATTATCAAAATGTTTTAATTTCTATACGGGATTTTTTTTCACCCAGTGACTACTTGCTACTTTTAAAACATAGCGTATTTGTAATGATCCATGATTAAAAGAACGCAGATGAATTTACTTCAGTTATCTTTTAATGATACAACAGTAGTAAGTTTGAACGTAAACACATCCAACTGGTTCAGCTGTAAGGAACGGACAGCCCAGTCCTACAAAACTAATAATCAGAATTTCAAGAATTGGGTATTACATTTTCGATTCTTGACTTTTTTGCATCGAGACAGACATAATCTTTTAAGAGAGAATTGATTTTTGTCCCACCACCAGGATCTAGCTTCAAATTAATCAGACAGATATGAGAGTGGCATCAATCTTATCTAACGCTCCTCCAAAAAAGCAAATAAGCATATGTCCCAAAATGTCAAACTGTTCCTTGTAGGTTGTTAATATTATTCCATAATGTCTGACGGTATATTTTGTATTGTTCCATATTCAAATTATATTATAAACATATTCAAAGACTCTGGTTGAGCATGGAACTTCAAGACTCCATAATTTTGTACCCATTTCCCCAAAATTCAGCCTCTCATATTCTCTGGAAACTTTGTGATCTCCAACAGTTTAAAAGAAAGTTCTGTGGGTTGCACATCATGACTTTGTAATGACAAAGGCCTAAATGATTGCTACATCAGTGATTTGATGTGGTGCACAACAGTAGAAAACACCTGCCATATTGCTGAAGCAATGGCGAAAACAAAGCTAGCATGGTCTGCAAAAATATGGGGGAATGTTGGGTGGAGGTCGATTTGCGAGGAAGGTGAGGTTGGGAGGGGAGGGGGGGGGTCATGAGGCCAAGGCTGTAAGACCTCCACTTGGCACCACACCCATCCAGAGAGGGCCTCCCTCTCCTCTCCGCTCTTCTCCTCTCCTCTCCTCTCCTCCCCTCTCAGGACTTGTTTTCCAGGGCCCCACTTCCTTACAGGATGTTTGGTGTGGGTCACTGGATGCTGGCTTCCTGTGTATTGGGAGGGGACTGACAGCAAAGTGAAGGCCAGACACCCTGTAGAATGCAGGGAGGAGGAGCTGGCGGAGGAGGGGTGGTGGTGCTACACAAACACATAACGTGAAATAGAGAAGCACACTCTATTGTTCCATGCGCAATCAGTGCTGTCTCATGTTATGAGTTATGCTTGAGTTACATATCCGCAGGAGCGGCATTTATGATTTTGGCTCATACTAGTTGATCCAAATAGAATCAAACATGTTTTTATCTTCACTTTGCTCTGTTCCATCATTCTCACAGCCCCCTCTAAACAGGATTGCATTTGAGCGATAGCTGAAAAGTGTTGGTGGTTGATACTTGTGGGCTATTAGGGTTATATAGCCATTCGCTCCCTTGAAGTTGACAGCTTCAGTGGGTCAGGTGTTATTTATGGGCTTTTAAGGAAAGAGAATCCAAACAACAGTGAAGATGAAAGCCATCACTCACCTCAGCGACGGAGAGAAGCTGCAACCATGTCATGAGCCTGGGCTCAAAGAAGAAAGAGAAGCGAGGTGAATGAGTGAGAGAAGGGATTAGAAGGAGGATGGAGACACAGAGAGCTGCCAGAGGGAAGAGAGTCTGAGTGAAGGAGTCAGGTGGAGAAGGTGAAGGGTTAGGAGGTGGAGATGAAACGCCACTGTTGAAAAAGTATATGTCTTAGGTGTCAAGGGGTCGAGCAGGTACATGTTGTGTCTCATCTGGGAAAGTCGTTTGTGAAGTATGTTAACTTGGCACTTGGTTGTGTTTCTGTGGAAGGAATCTTTGAGTAAATGAGCAGCGCAGGGTGGAGCAGACGAACTGCGGTGGCCGCAGCCCAAAGGTCGTAGGCAGGGCCTCGGGCTTGGCTATCACACGCTGTTTTGTCTCCAGCCAGTCAGCCAGTGAACCCGTTAACTGCAGCTGTTTGTGTTGTTGTTGTTGTGGCGAAGGTGGCCGGTTCCACCCAGTCCTGGTTCTCAGTGTAGCCTGAGAAGGCTGGGAGGGTCGAGGGGAGGCCTGGAGTCCGGAGCAGGGAGGAGAATTCCTGGATGCTGCCTTTACGGCCCCAGCGGATGTTTAGAGCACACATTAGGTGTGACCAATTATGTCATCTCTTTTGTCTGGGAAGAAATGAAATACCTCTCATGACACAATGGGCTTCTCAGTGTGTTCACGGGATCACAATGCTTTTCGTCTGACAAGCAAATAAACACTTTTAATGCCTCATTTTGTTGTGTGCATACATGGGAATTTTGTGCTGAGGGGTTTGCCAGACATAATGTGAACGCTGTGAAAGGAAACGTGATTTAAGTAGTTGAGACCAGAGGGTTGCTTTCAAGAAAGGAAGAATCAACAAAGAGGTGTGTGCCGCAATGTTAGATATTTCTCTTAAGATAACACCACCACCCTGTGGTAATCAGGGGGTATTACATACAGAAAAGCTGGGAATTGAGGTTTTACTCATTTTTGTAACCCATATGTGAATGAATTGCTGAACTGGCCCAAGGGCCCAAAGTGTCAGTGCCCACCTGCCCCCCACCTTGCCTCCACTTGTAAAATATCATTCATATTGACATGTACTAACCAGGAAGAGACTCAAAATGACCACAAAGAGACACAAAATGACAAAAAAAGACTCTGTTTTGAAGAGCATGATAAGCAAAAAGGTGAAATCTAACATAATATACCTCTTCTTTCTTTCTGTGTTCCTTATCAGATGAACGATATAATGCTGTACACCTACCCTCAGCAGGATGGAAAATACAGACTCAAGAACACACTATCTCTGTCTGGGATGAAGGTACATTCATTTTCCTATCTCATCTCCAACTTTATCTCTGTATGCAATGTTTTTTTGTCTGAACTGTGATGTGTTTTTGCCCCTCACACACACACACACACACACACACACAGGTGAGCAAACCTGTTCTTGACAACGTGCTGAACTGTCTTAGGATCGAGGTGTCCGACATCACTATTACACTCTCAGCCAGGTGAGCATGTGACTGACAGAACCTTGAAATTAATTTGTACGATTTCATTTACTGGCACAAGACTCCTTTTCTCCTGATTGACTCCTGTAGTCCAAAGCAACTCTAGATGTGATGATTAAAGCCTTTCAGAAGCGTGAACCTGTTTGTCTGTTTCTCTCCTCAGCTCAGTCGGGGAGCGGGAGGACTGGTTCCACACACTGAGTCGAGCCATAGCAGACCATGCTGCGGGACTCTGTACGTTTGGTGGACCCTGCAGCGAGGTAATAGAAGTACTGCCATTTGTTAGCCACTGTGTGGAATTGTGGGGCAACACATACAGTACAGGCCAAAAGTTTGGACACACCTTCTCATTCAATGCGTTTTCTTTATTTTCATGACTATTTACATTGTAGATTCTCACTGAAGGCATCAAAACTATGAATAAACACATGTGGAGTTATGTACTTAACAAAAAAAGGTGAAATAACTGAAAACATGTTTTATATTCTAGTTTCTTCAAAATAGCCACCCTATGCTCTGATTACTGCTTTGCACACTCTTGGCATTCTCTCCATGAGCTTCAAGAGGTAGTCACCTGAAATGGTTTCCACTTTACAGGTGTGCCTTATCAGGGTTAATTAGTGGAATTTCTTGCTTTATCAATGGGGTTGGGACCATCAGTTGTGTTGTACAGAAGTCAGGTTAATACACAGCCGACAGCCCTATTGGACAACTGTTAAAATTCATATTATGGCAAGAACCAATCAGCTAACTAAAGAAAAACCAGTGGCCATCATTACTTTAAGAAATGAAGGTCAGTCAGTCCGGAAAATTGCAAAAACTTTAAATGTGTCCCCAAGTGGAGTCGCAAAAACCATCAAGCGCTACAACGAAACTGGCACACATGAGGACCGACCCAGGAAAGGAAGACCAAGAGTCACCTCTGCTTCTGAGGATAAGTTCATCCGAGTCACCAGCCTCAGAAATCACAAGTTAACAGCAGCTCAGATCAGAGACCAGATGAATGCCACACAGAGTTCTAACAGCAGACCCATCTCTAGAACAACTGTTAAGAGGAGACTGCGCCAATCAGGCCTTCATGGTCAAATAGCTGCTAGGAAACCACTGCTAAGGAGAGGCAACAAGCAGAAGAGATTTGTTTGGGCCAAGAAACACAAGGAATGGACATTAGACCAGTGGAAATATGTGCTTTGGTCTGATGAGTCCAAATTTGAGATCTTTGGTTCCAACCGCCGTGTCTTTGTGAGACGCAGAAAAGGTGAACGGATGGATTCCACATGCCTGGTTCCCACTGTGAAGCATGGAGGAGGAGGTGTGATGGTGTGGGGGTGTTTTGCTGGTGACACTGTTGGGGATTTATTCAAAATTGAAGGCACATTGAACCAGCATGGCTACCACAGCATCCTGCAGCGACATGCCATCCCATCCAGTTTGCGTTTAGTTGGACGATCATTTATTTTTCAGCAGCACAATGACCCCAAACACACCTCCAGGCTGTGTAAGGGCTATTTGACCAAGAAGGAGAGTGATGGAGTGCTGCGGCAGATGACCTGGCCTCCACAGTCACCGGACCTGAACCCAATCGAGATGGTTTGGGGTGAGCTGGACTGCAGAGTGAAGGCAAAGGGGCCAACAAGTGCTAAACACCTCTGGGAACTCCTTCAAGACTGTTGGAAAACCATTTCAGGTGACTACCTCTTGAAGCTCATGGAGAGAATGCCAAGAGTGTGCAAAGCAGTAATCAGAGCAAAGGGTGGCTATTTTGAAGAAACTAGAATATAAAACATGTTTTCAGTTATTTCACCTTTTTTTGTTAAGTACATAACTCCACATGTGTTCATTCATAGTTTTGATGCCTTCAGTGAGAATCTACAATGTAAATAGTCATGAAAATAAAGAAAACGCATTGAATGAGAAAGTGTGTCCAAACTTTTGGCCTGTACTGTACATGAGCAACATAAAGCTGTTGTTTTGTAAAAATGTATTATAAAGTAGATTCAAGAAAAACACTAAGGGACTGTTTATTAAGTCAGGACTAGTGGAAGATTTAGTTGAGTTACAGATTAGTTATAGACAGGCCAAAACGCAGAATATACTTGGACCCTCACAGTGGATAAGGAAAAACTCCCCCCAGAAAATCCTTCGATGGGAAAAAATGATAGAAACCTCAGGAAGAGCAACTGAGGGACAATCCCTCTTCCAGGACTGACAGAGGTGCAGTAGTTTTGGTGTTTAACATATCATATGTGTCCACAGGCCCGTGAGAAGTTGTGGATGGCCCTTGGTGAGGCTGCCCCTGTACTGGTGCCAGTTTCTCATGTGATGATGTGCATGAACTGCACCACTGACTTCAGCCTCACACTGAGACGACACCACTGCAACGCTTGTGGCAAGGTCAGATGCACAGAACTGCAAACACTACTTTGACTAGTAGCTGTTGACTTGTACTACTGTTTTGTTTCACTGTACTGGATGTCAAGTTTCAGGAGAGTTTTAATTGACCTGGACTAGAGTTACCAGTCGTAGGAAATTGTTTTGAATCTAATAAACTCATTGTCCTAGGTTCATTCATTTTTGATGTAGTGCTTTTGGTCATTCTATGCGAATGCTAGTTTCCTCTTTTGGGACAAATATATTAGTCAAGTCAAGATAGCCCACTGAAACTGGTTATTGTCTATCTGTGTATGTAAATCTCTGTATGTTCTGTCTCTCTGAGCAGGTGGTGTGCCGCGCTTGTTCCAGGAACAGATACCCACTGAAGTACCTCAAAGACAGGGTGGCCAAAGTGTGTGACCACTGCTATGCCGAGCTCAGGAAACGAGGTGAACCTCCACTTTCTGTATGTCTCACTGGTGTCTGACTGGTGAAGGAGAGATATATGTTGATGTGCTTCTTCCTCTTTGATATGGTATCAACTGTGTGTGTGTGTGTGTGTGTGTGTGTCTATAGGTGGCAGCATATCGGGGGCGTGTGGTAACACCAGCCCTCGGACTCACCGGGCCAGCCGTCCTCTCTCGGCTGTCTTTCAGAGCCTGCAGCCCCCGAATTTGTGGAAGAGCAGGAAGAGCACCTCCTCTCTCAACCAGGTGGACGACACATGTCATCTGTACCTCTTTTTCATTTCAAACATGCATTTGACTAGCCTCAAAATTTGACATTTTATTGGGGCAATTTTGATTACAATGTATCACACACTAGTCTCACAAACTCCAGTTCCACCTCTCAGTGTAAATATGCTCAACACAAACAGGTGAGTGAGGCTAGTTAGATTTGATTTGACTTTAATGTGTTGGTTAATAGTCCACTGTAGTACTATACTGTATGTCATTGGTTCTTTATGAAATCTTTTCATAATCTGCCATCTATGCTTAATCTAAAGAATGTTCCCTGACCGGGAATAGAACCCGGGCCGCGGCGGTGAGAGCGCCGAATCCTAACCACTAGACCACCAGGGACTTATCAACGGGTTGTGGAGAACTTTTAATTTCAATATATGATATGCAATTACAGATTACACGGTCTATGTATCCTAAAGATGTTGATTTGTAAATAGACTTGTTTTCACAGCAGACATTTTGACGTGTCATATGAAAAGCACAGGTATATTTAATAAGGTTAATGATAGCTGTATTCCACTTAGGGAAGGCTGTGAAAAAGGTCCATTGTTTACGGTTTTGTCCCTTGATTTCTGAATAGAATCAAGAATGGCCAGTGCTCAAACATGTCACTGCCACAGTTTGCTTATAGCATGACTTTAGAACATAGGCCCCCATAGACTTTTGAATTAAGTTCTCAAAGAGGACTAAAGTTAAATTCCCTGACCGGGAATCGAACCCGGGCCGCGGCGGTGAGAGCGCCGAATCCTAACCACTAGACCACCAGGGATCTATATATTGAGCCAAGCCTGTGAACTGGAATTTCAGGCATGTGTGACAGCTGATCTGCCGCAGATGCTAATGTGTAGAGCACAGCAGCTGCCAGTAGGGTTCACTGTCTACCTCTTTACCCTTCATTCCTATTGTCAGGGGTTGCAGAAATATAATGCTAACCTGCTAACCTGCTCCTGCAGTTACTGTTTTGAAAATACTTAGATAACCCTCAGTGACCTAAACAGACCAATTTTTATTACTTTTTCGGGGGTAGATGGGATCTTTTCGAGGAGACAGCAGGTCAGCAGTATACCCCACACAGAAGTGGCATACATCACCTGAAAGCTGGGACCATGAGGATTTATTTAAGATGTAGCTCAGCACTGTGTGTCAAGTTTTTCTAGTCATGAATCTAAATATTGTGTTTTGGTTAAAGCCTATGCAAATTTTAAAGATTTAGAGTGTATAAGGGCTTAGAACATCATGATGGAAGTATATGATGGCCATTTTCATGCTCATTTATGTCTCATAGGTTGTTGCAGCAATTTTTTGATTGCCACCATTTGTTACACAGTTTGGGTGTTAAATTTAAGCATGTTTTACCACTCAAGAGTTGTTAACAATGGTCAAAAATTCCTCCAGAGCACCACTTTTTCATATCGCCTTTTCACATGATTTTTGATATGACAAATGACATGTTGGAGCACATTTGTGGGTGTATGCACGACTGCATGTAAACAGGAATTCATTTTCATTAGCCCTGTAAATTCCTCTTCTCAGTGTAAATATGGTCATGATAGATGGTGAGTGACAATTGATTTGAGTTTAGTTTGAATGAAATCTTCCGCACTTTGAACACATAGTTGTCTGCTATAGTCCTACATGCCAATGGTTCCTAAATGGCCTCTTCTATTAAGTAATTGTGCAAAGATTATATTCCCTGACCGGGAATCGAACCCGGGCCGCGGCGGTGAGAGCGCCGAATCCTAACCACTAGACCACCAGGGACTTGTCAGAGTGTTTGTACACTAAAGATGCTAGTGTGTAAACCTTAACAGCTGCCAGCTGGGTTCAGTATCTACCTCTCCACCCTTTACTCCCATCGCCAGGGGCTGCAAAAGCAGAAAAGTAATGCAATCCTGCTCCTGCAGTTACTATTTGGGTAATTACTTATTTATTACTTACACTCTTTATGACTCACATGTCTATAATGCATTATAAACATACTTATGATACATTATAATCTTATAAACACATTATAAGGCATTCTATATTGATTTTATAAGTTCAAGTATCATAGACTTGAAAATTGCTGGTCACTCAATGACATTTTCTTTGTTGAAAGAATCACAGAGTATTATTGTTCTCATATATTATTATAATTTTATAATCCATTGTAGTGTGTTACTCTAAGTGGTCATTGGGTGTTTTAAGTTTCAGTGATCTGCCTGTGCCTCAGAAATTTCATTACTTCATATGAAGGGATACTTTGGTGTTTTTGAACCACATCCATGTCTGTGTGTGAAGATGACCAGTGTTTGTCTACCCCCAAACTGGCAGCTCCCGGAGCTCCCTGCCTGCTGGCACAGGGAAAGCCAAATACCATTCATCGGCGCACACACTCCCCAGACAGTGGTGACACAGACCTGGTTCGGATGACCACTGGAACTCACCTATAATCACATTATGATGCATTATAAAATGATTATAATGTACTGTAACTATGAGAGTAATACACTGTGATCCTTTCAACAAGATGATTTTTGTTATAAAGTAGTATAAATCAAAGTGCTTTAAGCAGATTATAATGTATTATACGTATATTTATAATGTATTATAGACAAGGGAGACGTAGAAATTGATACCCAAATAGTAATTGCAGGAGCAGGATTGCATTACATTGCTGTTATTGCAACCCCTAAAGACAGGAATGAAGAGTTGAGAGGTAGATAGTGAGGCAGCTGCTCTGCTCTATACACTAGCATCTGTAGCAGTTGTCACTCAAGCCTGAAATTCCAGTTCACAGGCTTGGTAGTCACCGACAGGTCCCTGGTGGTCTAGTGGTTAGGATTCGGCGCTCTCACCGCCGCGGCCCGGGTTCGATTCCTGGTCAGGGAACTCTCTTTACTTAAGCTTCACAATAGAGGCCATTTGGTTAAGAGCCCATGACATACAAAACTACAGTGGACTAGTACATGCTGAAAATGAGGATGTCTCATTCAATCTATCATGGCCATATTCACAGAAGACAAAGTGGAGCTTGTGAGACTACTGTGTGACACAAATAAATAAACACATTCATATGTCAGTAATGCATTACAACCATGGGCGTCATAGAAAGTCTTAACCAAAATTGGATTTGTTGTTCTTACTGTCAGTTCTTGTTTAAACTGTCAGAAAAAGTGGAGACTGTCATTTTGTAGTTTGTGGGACAATAATATTGCCAAAGGATTCCAAATCCAGTTCCTCCATCTGTGTCTCTGCATCAGTGTAAGCTCGTGTGTATCTAATGTGTCATGCTTGTCATCAGGTGTCGCTTACTGTGGAGGGCTCCACCATGAGCGGCAGCCTGCAGCGCCAGAAGAAAAGCAAGAGGAAGTGGAAGCGACTATGGTTCCTCCTCAAAGACAAGGTGCTCTACACCTTCACAGCCCGTGAGGTGAGGGGGCACAGAGTCTCCCACACCAGCCCCAAAGCACTCACACACACACACACACACTCTCATGATCACTCTATCACAGAGGCATTACCTTGGTCTATCCTTTTCCTCCTTCACATCTGACCAGTGCAACAAAGAACTATTTAACACTCACATTTCCGCTGCTCAACCTTCCCTCCTGGGCAGAACACTTTACGCAACTAATGGCGGGACTCTCTGTGCTCTCTCTCTGTTTCTTTTGACAAGTGTGCATCACAGTGTTGTGCACTGCTTTGTTCCTCTTAAGGCATGAAATTCTTGTTATCCACATACTGCTGCTGACAGCGAGATTTGTTGTTTTAAACCTGTATGCCTGTGCTTGATGTCTTCACTCTGCTGTGTTCAGGATAAAGTGGCTTCAGAGGGTCTACCTCTGCAGGGCTTCACTGTCAAGCTGACTGAGAGGCCAGAGGGAGAGGAAAGCAGCAATGTGTTCCATCTCTACCACAAGAAGACCCTGTACTACACCTTCAGGGCCGACGATCCACACACTGCACGCAGGTACTGTATTTCATTGATATGAGCAGAGATATGGGTTTATTGTATTGGTGTTGAAGCAGTCATGAAAACTCTGTTCCCTGACCGGGAATCGAACCCGGGCCGCGGCGGTGAGAGCGCCGAATCCTAACCACTAGACCACCAGGGAGCTGTGAGTGTGCAAATGGCATGTGTGAGAACATGTGTGGTATGTGAAGCAGACAGGCAGCTCTGTGCATTTTCCTCACAGTTCTACATGACATCTTGTAGAACATTGTTCTCCTTCGTGATGGTGAGAGTGCCTCCATATGGGTTAAAACTAAATTTGTCGAGATCATCTCTTTTTTCCAGACCTAAAACACGACTTTGTTTTAACTCTATGGTGTTAGGGTTGGGCAATATATCGATTATACACTGATATCATGATATGAGACTAGATATCATCTTAGATTTTAGAAAACATAATATCGTAAGCGTTGTCTTTTCCTGGTTTTAAAGTACAGAACACAAATAAGTGGATATGTCAGCCAGTAGTAGATTATTGGAGATATATTGGTATCTGTGTATATGTAGCCCAACAAGTACAAAGAAATTACACTAGGTTTGATGTAATGTAGGAACAGTGTCTTAATTACATTTTTTTTGTAACTCTGCGTCCCGAGCACTTCTCTACAACTCTACAGTCATGTGAGGTTTGACCCATTTTAAATAGTCAAATTTGTGGTAAAGATAGGGTGATTGGGCAGAGGTCACGCAGAATTCATGCAATACTGGCTGAATTTGCATTAGTTGTTGCAATCGCAACATCCCGCAGGGACTGGTTTTCAATGGTGTGTATCAGTTTTTAAAATTTAGAGTTGTATTTCCATAAAGTTTGGTATAAGTCAAGCTCCAGAAAAACTGGATCCTTCATTTCCCATAATGCAACCTGCACAATCCTTTTGTGAGCCCCTCCCTGCATGGTAAAATCAGTAGTCTGGAACTAGTAAAGTGACTTTGTCTTGTAAAACCAGTGGCGTGCCCCTTTAAGTGTTGTGTTAAAAGGTCTCATGTTGCTTTTTCTTGTCTTTCAGGTGGGTCAATGCAATGGAGGAGGCTACTGTTTTATAGCACCTGCTCAGTGAACTGAACACGTCCTGCTGTCTGTGACTGCTAGAAACTCCTCCGTGGAGCACAACATAGCTACCTGCTGCTTCTGAACTCAGACCATCAGTAAGAATTCATCACATCTGACCTGTTGTGGAGTATTATGTGACAATGTGATCACTAGGCAAGGCTGCCACCTAATGGTAGGAAGGTAACAGTGGCTGACGACAGTGTGTGGAAAGGAGAAGAGGAAGGAAACCCCTTTGATTCCCAATGTGCTGATCCAGCCCAGTTCACAGGAGCCTTCGATTTTTAGGAGTAGCTTGGATTCATCAAATGCGTCATCCAAGAGAACATTTTAGTTCCTCTGTTTTACCTTTTCATAAGGATAATCCCACAAAAAATGTTCAACTCTTGGCTGTATTTTGATGTCTTTTACCTGAGGTTCCACTGGATTATTAAACCACTTTTTTGGCTCTGCAGGAGAACATCACATCCTTCATTTTTATATGTGAGACAGCCTCAGCCTGTGTTCTGTGATGGGTATAACATCACAAACAATCTTTGCTCCATAGTAGTGTTTGCAGCTAGTAAAAGGGAAAATACTGGTCACCATTCTAGAGAGATATTTGGTATTCTGAATATATATTGTGAAATATACACTGCAGATAATGAAGTGAATTATAGGATTTGTTTGTATAGAAATGGTGTTACATGATGTTCTGGGTAAGAGGTCATTTTAATCATCCCAGTGTGTGTACATTATATTTCTTGTGGAGTTTTACTATTATATTGAATCTACAAGGCTATGGAATGACCCTCAGCATGACAACCACTCAGTATTTCTAAAGACGAACACTTTCAAAGACACTTTGTATTTGAATCTGTAGGTTTTGAAAAAAAAAAAACACCATACAGTTCTGAAGTGCCAATTAATTTCTTCCAGTTGAATGCAGTGCAATTTGCAGTTGATGATGAATGTGCCTGAAATGAAATTGTACTCCTTGTTTGTCTTTGTATCATCAAAGTACTGTACTACTGTCGTGTCTACAGAAGAGACCTTGATAACATTAGCTTTTTATCTACTCTTATATACTTTAACCTGCTAGTATTTTTTGAACAATTCAGTTACAGCCCAGTAACATAAGAATATACTATTGTGCCATTTTTATTAATGCCTTTTTTCATGCTGTATACACTGCTGGATAAAATCACACTTTACCTACTTGGACTTTATGGAAACGGCTGGAAAAAAAAATAAAGCCATCGTCATACTACCTATAAACTGCCAGTGTTAAGAGTCATCTGAGCCGCTCATTTCTTCAGCAGTAGTGTGACACTGGAGTTTCACTCTTCTCTACTGTTTTAACATAACCCAGCATCCATAGTTTCTCTTAAAGGGACAGTTCACCCCAAAATCAATACAACAGATTTTTCCTCTTACCTGTAGTGCTGTTTAACTATCTAGATTGTTTTGGTGTGAGTTGCAGAGTGTTGGAGATATCAGCCGTAGAGATGTCTGCCTTCTCTTGAATATAATGGAACTAGATGGCACTGGGCTTGTAGTGCTCAAAGTGCCAAAAAATACATTTGAAAAACTCAACAGCAATGTCTTTTTACAGAAATCATGACCCGGTTACTCAAGCTAATCCACAGACCTTGTTGTGAGCAGTTTCATACAGGAACTATTTTCTTTCGAACAAACTACACCTGCCAAGAGTATCACTGCACAGAAGGAAACGTGCATCTACTCATGAACCAGCGGCTCGTGCTTGTGACAGCACGAGATGTTAACATTAATGGCGTCCTCTTCAGCTGAGCTTTCACATTAGCTGCATCAGTTGTGCTAGATGAGCCAGCAGTAGATCCACCCTTCCTCTGCAACTCACACTAAAACAATCTAGATTGATAAACAGCACTACAGGTAAAATGATAAAATAGTATTTTTGATTTTGGGGTGAACTGTCCCTTGGAAATAACCTACGTAAAGGCATTATCTGGTCCGTTTGGAATGCAGCTGTTCTACATGCGATCCTTCACCCATCAGACATCATTATTTCTAAAGCACACATTTGTTCATCATGTACTGTTAAGCTTTTCTACCTGTTTCTTATGTGCCATATCTATAGTGTTAATTATGGATTGTACCTCTTGCATATAGTGCATTGTAAATGTTTATGTATATAGAAACATATAGAAATAAATTCCTTTAAAAAGTTTACTTTGTGTGCTTTCACTGTGCTGCCTTTTCTTACTTACAAATCTGTTTATTATAAATTATAAACTGAATGCACAGTTACAGAAGCACTTGTACAACGATATCCATTCCAGTACAGCAGCCCTTGAATATGTTTGGTAAATATAACACCGTATTTTGTATACACAAGATTGTATTTTATCATAAGTTGCTCATATTATTCAGTCTTTCGTCTCAACCCCTATGCCTACATGTATATTCAAATATATACAATTTAGAAAGAAAACAATGCACACAGAAATACACCTTATACAGATACAAATCTCAGCAGCTATAATTATGAGCCTCACAGAAGCAGTTGTTACAGTTTGTTACAGTGAACAGTTTTTGCGAGGCATTGTATTAGATTGTACATGTGTTCATGTTCCACTCATCCCCTGTAAGTAATTAATGCCAGAATAATGCTGAAATAAGCACAGAGTAGACTGCACCTGTGTGTGCCTATTGTTTGTGGCACTGGCAAACAGTTTAGTTAAATACCTCTTTCATCCAGCAGAGGGCAGCAGTGCATCAAGCCAACAGAGCTCATTGGAACCTGGTTTGTCCACAGTATCAACTTGGAGTTGGGGGATGTTAAGATGATAAGATGCAGTTATAGAGATGGAACTTTCATTTGCAGATCAAACTTACTAGTGTGTGATATGTACAGCTCTGTTTTACATCATTAATTGAAAATGAATCGAAACTTGAACTCAGTCTTGAATTGCAAACATATGCTTTCAACAGGAAACAAGAAGGGGGAAGAGAGAGAAGAAAAGAGTACAATGCTGTTATATGTGTAGTGGTGTGATACCAGATGTCCCCTTATGCTGCAGTATACTAAGTAATTATACACACACACACACACACACACACACACAGATGCATGAAATGAAATTATTATTTATGCTTGGGAGTAATGTTGGTGTATGTAAAGATGGCATTTTAAGGGGCAATATCGTTGCAGACTGTGTTTAAGACAAATTCTCCACTTGACAGATGTATTTTGAAAATGAGCTTAATGTTCAAGTCTGTTCATAAAAAGAGTGGCTTGCAGAAATATTACGAAAGAAAACTTAACAGCAGTGATTTCCCAGCCATACCTCTGACGTTTAAATCTAATATTTCACTTGAAATGAACTCAGCTGACTGATGTGTTACTTTGCAGGAAATGTTTGGAATTTCATTTTGGAAGCAGTTTGCAAGACTGCACTTTGATCATCCTTTCTTTTTTGGCTTTTTGTTTTTTTGTTATGGTGTAAAAAGGTTATGTCGTGGAAAAGTCAGGGAAGAGAAAGTGACTTCAAGTTGTTGCAGGGAACACAGTCAGAAAGTCCCAATTTACACCCTGCAGTAGTCAGTGTTGTGTCAGTGACTGCCACGTGTCCTTGGTTTACATCATCCATTCAAAAGATCAGCCTGCTGTGATGTCCGCTCTTGTCAAGTTCTAATTATTATTTTAAAAGAACTACGATGCCCTGACTACAAACAAGAAATACTGCATCTGTCAAGCCAATGAATGTGCATATGTCACGCTGGATCAGAATTCAGTGATGCTGCATTCCATTAATTTCCTCTACACTGATTAACCCAAGGGAGGCACTCTAATTTTAGGTCAAATTAAGGTGACATATTTGTATCACCCGGTGGGATTACACATCATTACTGGTAACTGCTGCCTTGTTGCAGATGTAATTTGGCCAAATATAAAACAAGTTCCCATCCACTCCTGGTAGAGACCACAATGAGCCTTTCTTTTTCCAGGCTTTTCACTTCCCAGCCACAGCCAGACTTCTGCGTAACACGAGCCATCTCGGATAACTTAATTAGTTATACCAAAGAGTTCCACCAAGCCAAAACAACCAAGTCAGACAGTGATGGACCGCAACCAGGAAAGCAGTGCTAGCATAAATATTTAAAGACAAAGAAACAGCACAAAACATTTTGGCCTATTTCTTTTTTAACATCTGCAATATTAATGACGGTGAGTTAACCAGAGCAGGCCCAATGTGCGAGCTTGATGAGGAAAAGAAAAGGGATGTGGCTTTAATTTATCAGCCAATAAAGGTCCTTTGATAATTCAAAACTGGCATTTGGTTTGCTCATTAATAATTTTAAAAGTCTGTCAATACTGATAATAAGGAAGGAAGGGAAGGAAGGGGAGTGTTTGCTGAGGACACTGTAACTGGATACAGAGATCAAGACTGAAAGATCATCTCCAATTAGATGAGTAAAGATGAAGTGATTGCGTGTCAGTCAGAAAGTAGGCAGAAGAAAATAGGAAGATTGGGGTTGCTCTAGATACTTGATCCCAGGAGTGTCGGTGACCCAGTACTTACTTGAAATACCGACAGACAGAGAGAAGTGAGAAAGGCGTCGTAAGCAGGGAAAGTTTCCTTCAAGCACCTGAAAGTTAAAGACACCTTGTTCCACTTCTTGTCTTGAGCGTGAACTCGGTCACATGGTCTCTAACACATGCAAAACACATTACAAAACCTTCCCCTTAGTAGCCAGGGAACCAGAGATGCAGAGAGTGATTAGGTAACCACCCGGCAGGTTTGAATCGACAGCCTTCAATTTCTGTGGTCTCGGCAAATTGTAAGAAAAGGACCTCTAAAAATAGTGAAAGGACAGTCTCTCCTTGTACTCGCTGGAAAAGTTTCAAATCCCCATCACACAGAAACACAGTGCCTGTATCGCATTCCAGTAGTCCAACACTACACAGGCAGGTTTATTAGAAAGCTGCAGAAGAAGACTCAATGAATGATGTGAGATGCGTTTGGAAGAACTGACCAACATTTTACTTGTGTCTCCTGATCAGACAGTGATACCTACTGTATGCTGGAGTGACAAAGGGACCATTCCTCCCAAGTTGGGTCGATTACGTGACACCAGTGTAGGCAGGTTAGCAGCTTTCCATGCTGTCATCTCAAAATCATTTTCCAATGCAATAATGTAGTCTGACCAAAGATTGAGGTAAAGGGTTGTTTGAAGGGGAAGTGTTTCATCTGATCTTTGTTCTTGTTTAATACTCCTATTCACGAGACAATATGTCAGACCACTGGGTCCCATCCTGGGGGTTTCAACTCCCAGTAAGGGTTGTAAAAGCTTAACGGGGTTTGCAAGGCCTTCTTGATTTAAAGAGGTGTATAAAAGAAACAACATATATAAATATTAGGGGTGTGGGCAAAGGTGGTGTAGTGCAGAGTTTGCATGTTCTCCCTGTGTCAGCGTGGGTTTTCTCTGGGTACTCCGGCTTCCTCCCACAGTCCAAAGACATGCAGGTTGGGGAAAGGTTAATTGGTGACTCTAAAATTGCCCATAGGTGTGAATGTGTGTGTGTGACTGTCCAGGGTGTACCCTGCCTCTCGCCCAATGTCAGTTGGGATAGGCTCCAGCCCCCCTGCGACCCTCAAGAGGATAAGGGGTTACAAAAATGGATGGATGGAATCACAGGAGGCCCCACAATACGATGTGTGATAAAATATATTGCGATTTATTAAATTTTTTGAACTGCAGATTTTGTCCCCAACTGAAAACTATGTCAACATATGTTCAACAAGTTTTCAGTCTGTTTATCTCACTTCAATGATTTTTAATGCAGCAAAAATGTATCTAGCAGACTGAAAAAGCAACTGATTTATTTGTGATATAAACTATTTATATAGTAAAAAAAAAAAATCAATACTTGGTGTGCCATTCAAAAATATCATGATATCATGCTGTATTGATTTTCCCCCATCCCTAATAAAT